CAACAAAGCCGTCTGGATAAAATGGATGCTCTTTGCCATCTTCTATGCATCGGACGTGTGCTGATGAGTTTCTTGGCTGAAAATGGCCCTTGGCAGTGCTTGCACATGACCCCACCTGCACCTCACCACTGACTTGTACCGCTTTGCAGGCTTGTAGCTCGGCCTGCAGTCAATGTTTGAGCCTACAATTAGACTCATTCGAAAGAACGAGACTTCCTCTACACGATGGTATGCAAACAAGTTCAGTTCGAGCAATTCCAGAGATTTGGCGGATGGGGTGGTAGAGGGCAGCTTCAGTTGTAGTCTAAGCACTATTCAGCTAAAGTTGAAGAGAGCTCCTTTCGCTACCAATTTCATCCTAGAAGTTCAAAACTGTCAATTTCTTGTATTAGATCCATTTCGAAGCTCTAAGACTGCTCTGGTGTTCATAAGAGCTTTCACTCCAATCACCTCTAAGGCTGCACTTTTTCACCTCATCCGCCAAATCTCTGGGATTGCTCGAACTGAACTTGTTTGCATACCATCGTGTAGAGGAAGTCTCGTTCTTTTGAATGAGCCTAATTGCAGGCTCAAACATTGACTGCAGGCCGAGCTACAAGCCTGCAAAGCGGTACAAGCCAGTGGTGAGGTGCAGGTGGGGTCATGTGCAAGCACTGCCAAGGGCCATTTTCAGCCAAGAAACTCATCAGCACACGTCCGATGCGTAGAGGATGGCAAAGAGCATCCATTTTATCCAGACGGCTTTGTTGGGATGTCTTGAACAGGTTTCCGTGTGAAGAAATTTGGCTTGATAAAGGAAATTAGAAGTTGTTTTTTGAAAAAACTAAAATAAAACTCAAGCTTGCGTTTTTTGGGGAAGCAACCATAACCAGTGTGTAGTTCTTGACGAGCTCTGTATAGTAGTATGCTTACCCGTTCGGATAACTTGTGTTTCCGCTTTAAAATAGGACTCAAAAGAAAATTTTTTGCGTTCGAAGAATTATTGTCCGCGACATTGGCCCGTAGTAAAGTACCGTCAAGGCATCTCCCCTGAGGCGGACCGGAGTTGATATCTTGGCGCCTCAGTCCAGCATCCGGCGAGCTATTGATCTGGATGCAGATCGCTTCCTGGACATTATGATCATGTGCGTTCTGGAGAAAACAGCTACTTGATTCGATTTGGTTAAATGGGTAAGCCATTGGAATTACACGCGCGCGGCCGTGGTTCGACTCCGCCTAGCGACACAACTTTTGCTGCATCGCCGGGCAATCTTTGATAGCGGCCACTATCCAATCGATGATGACCGCTATCAAGGATTTCGCCTAGCAAACGCAAAGATAAAACAAAAAAACATTCCGCTACGAAAATTTTGCGACAAAGCGAAATGGTTGCAACGTGAATTCAATGAAATGAACAAATGAGTCCTCGTTTTGGACAGCTTCAAAAAAAAACCAGTAAAGTTTACAAAAAAGAGAAAAGTTTGTTTTTTTCTGTCTTCCTCGCCAAAATCAGCTGTTCATCGATCCTCTCCTTTTCGGGCGCGGTTGTGCAGTTTTGCGCCGATTTTGTCCGCAGTGTTAGGCAAATTGCTGTGTATCGTAAGTTACTCAGGAGCAACTTACGAAGATTTTCTCTGCGTTTTCTCTTTAGCACACTATTTCTGGACATCATCGCTCATATCATCTCCCATCTCCCCGGCAGGGAGATCACCTCCCTGCCGAACTTCACCTGAGGCTCACCTCTCAGGTGACCTTGCATCCCTATAGCATGGGGAAATGGGCGGTCGTCATTTTACTGACGGAACCTCACATGAAGGTCTCAGAGGAGATAATCTCCCATGACCGAGCTTTACTACGGGCCATTGTGACGCGGCCATTTTCGGAGACTTTTTTAAGAAAAAGATTCTTAAAATTTTTAGAACACATGTTTTTCGAAAAACGCCAAGTATAGATTGTAGATCTTGAAGAGCTCTATCACCTCATGCAATTATTACATTTTTTCATCCTTATTTTCCTTCTGAAAAAGAGCAATGAAAAAGGGAGGAAGGCTTGTCCGCAACTTTTTGGCGGTCACTGTATCAGTGGCGCCACTGATATATCAATACTTGTATAATAGTTGGCTAAGCCACTTTTTGTATCTTCGCCCAAAAAGAATAGGAGTATTGGAATCTGAGTCAAATTTGGCATAAGTAATGCATGGGTCGGGGCATGTGTTAATAAGCCATTTTTTTCGGGGACCACCCATAGCTTCTATCGATTTATCAATTTTTTGCTCTTTTTGCTTGGAAAATACTTTATGTTCGGTCAAAAAGTATAGAAGGATTAATGGGCCAGTAATAAGCCCCTTCAGTCGGGACACACAAGTTGCTCCTAGTGATCTATTGGTTTTTTTGCAGTTTGCGTAATATCCATTGCTTAGAATGGTGATTCAAAACTAACAAAGTCCTCAGTTTTTTCATCTGCGCAGATTATAAATCAAAGTACAATTGATTCAACTGGCTGAGCTTCGGCAAAGGCAGGGCTTCGTGACGTAATTAAGGCTAGGTAATGATCAGAGAGCACTCGCGTGCGAGAGACGCAGGTGCGTCGCGGGCGCGAGCGGCCTGCCCTGACGGAGCTAAACCAGTTGAATCAAAGATAATTCTTGTAGAACGGCGAATTTTGGAATCTCCGCATCATAGAGTGAAACGAAAAATTTACGAGGCAGCGAAGCTGCCGAGTACCAGCCGAATCCGCCGCGTAGCGGCAGAGAGCGGCTGGTATATATATATCAGTGGCGGACTAAGGGGTGCGAGGGGGGAGGGGGGCGCCTTCCCTCTCCCCACCCCCGGGAATGAGTCGCGAATATTTTGAAATTTGCTTACATGGGTTATAAAAATGTGCAAGTGACTTGTTTGTTCTTGTAAATAATTGAGATAATTTTTAAGATTTTTTAAAAATCCAAATTAGCCCTGTAAAAAGTTTTTTCGGAGGCGTGGCTGACGCCCCGGTTGTGTTTATGTGTGTGGAATAGGAATTTTTATTTCTGTACCGATCCGGACCAGAGCACGGATACACCTCGGGGCGGGGCGGGTGTCATAGGCTACTTCGTCACCGATCGACATCGAATATTTTTTGTATGGTTTCTCCCATGGGCTGGGAGTTGGTACGTGAGCATACTGATTACGAATACAATTTAGTTTCTGAAATCATCGATTACTTTTACAAGAGTTACGACCAGGGTCAAGCGTGGGGTGCGGCACGCCGCACCTGGGGGGTCGTATTGAGGAGTCAGAAGGGGAGGGGGTCGTAGTTGGGTAATCTGATAATAGTGATAACATAATATTCGTATCATATCCATAATTAGCATGCCAATTAACCCCTGTAGACAAAGTGTGAGCGATCTGAAGATTCAAGATACTAGGCTACCTAAATGAAATGGTCAAATTCCAACATGGTTAACTTTGTTTCAAAGGTGAATTAGCTATCCGTTTTTGCACTCAAGACAAAGCACTACTCCTTCTTTGTCCATCTCAGGAATACCTCAGAAGACCTGCAAACTGTGGAATTAGAAGCCAACCAAAACCTCGTTTTTCCCATTTTTCGCTTTTGATCGCTGTACTTTCAGCAAATATTACTTAGAGCTAAGAAGACAAATCAGGCTCCAAACAGTCCTATGGAATTCACAAGGTTTAGGCTATCGATTCATATAAATATTGCCTGCTAGAATTGTTTTTTTTTGATATAGTTAATGGGGATGGGGTGCGGCACACCCCCTTAAAAGCTGCGGCTGCCGCAGCTTTTGAGGGGGTATGCCGCACCCCCTTAACTTGCCTTCAAAATCCAGAAAGCGCTCCATTGCTGGTATGAGTATTGAGCACATAGCTTCTTCTTGCTACATTGGAAATTTGGAGCCGACGCCCCACCCATAAGAAAATTATGGCCCTTTCAATATGCCCATTCAGATCAAAATCAGCCGTCAAATTACGTGTGATTGTAAAGTGCAGTCACAAAAAATCGGGCGTACAGCTCTCAGAAATCTGAAAACTCTCTAGAAAAAGATGGTGTCCTCCAGAATGCCACACTTTGAGGTCCAGAGATTAAGAGGAGGAAGAAGGGGTCGTTTGAGGGCTTTCATGGGAGGGGGGGGGGGGTTTCGAAAAACTTGTGCCTGACCTCTTTCTCAACTCTGGTAATGCTATCTTAGGTATATAGTTCAGGGGGGGGGGAGGTCTTATTAAGACAGCAATCGGGGGGGGGGGGGTCGTAACCAGCGATCGTGTGCCACACCCTTTGCTTGACCCTGGTTACGACGCTAGGAGTTGGCACAAGAGGGTGGATGAGCATGCTGATTACGAATACAATATTACTTGAATTATTCATTGCTTTTATTGATTTTATTGACTTCTTTGCAAAGTTTGAGCTACGGGGCTGGGAGTTGACACAGCGGAAGGGTATGTGAGCATGTTGATTACGAAAACGAAACGGGAATAGAGAGCTGGCATGTAGAGGTGGGCATAGGGAAAGCTTTGTTCAGGAATCGGAACGATGACCTTTTCATGGCGTTTTGACAGGGCCGGGCGGAGCCGGGTGAGGCAGCTAGTCTTCAAATATTATGCAAATCAGGAAGGCAAAAAGGCTATCAAAAAGAGGAGAAAAAGCTGCGTGGAATGACACTCTGATTGCTCTCCACTTGTTGTTCTGCGAGGATTGGGATGCCGAACATGGAATTTGACTTTTCAAATATGTCTGAAAATTTTGAGGAACGCAAAATATATTGTATTGCATTTTGTATTGTCCATCCAACCATTGTCAAAGCTGGTCCCAAAGTTGGAAATGGGAATTTCGAAAATTAGCCAAACTCAGGGTGTGTAAAAGCCATAGATTGGAGATTCTTGAGGGCACTTGATTACATTTAGTCTATTCGCGTGTCTACCGCATATTTCCGGCGCTCCTTGGGTGCAGTACAATTCGGTGTAGTAAGGTGTAGGTTCCCAATCAGCTAATCTTTGTTTAGTAGAAAGCGCCGTACTTCAACTTACATTCAGTGATATCATTCCGCAACGGAAGTGAAGAGAGAAGGTCATTTTGTGTATAGCATACAAGACGCAAGGGTAGCAGAGAACGTTCCAAATAGTTTGCAAGCTGAAATGAAACAACTTAGGCAATACTCATCTTTTTTCAGCCGTCTCATGATTCTCTTCCCGGATTTAGTACCTGATTCAGTCGTTTTATGAAATGTACTCTTAACTCTGATTTGGAGTTTACTTCTCAATAGAGGGTGGGAGGGGGGATGGAACTTATCTACCCAAAGACATTCCGCAACGTAGCTATGGGGGTCATAATGTCAGCAACGCTAATTCGAAACATTTTGAGGAATGCAATCGAACCCCACATTGAGTGAAAGTGGGCTTCAATTGAAATTCTGAACTCAAACTCCAGATGCGATTTTTTCGTCCGATTGGGGTAAAAATCGGATTTCAGAGGCTTTTTTAGCACGGAGTGTGCGAATGTGCTGGCGGTTTTGCTCACAATCAGAACCTTGGAATTTTTATGTATAAATTGAGATTTTGTTGCAATTTTGGAAATATACAGGGTGTCTGTAAAGTATGTATGACTGTTTGATCGTTAATATCTCTTTTCCCAAGAAGTCTTTTGCCTTGCTTCAGGTAGCATTTTGTAGGGCTGGCTTCAACTTAGATTTGCAGTATGGAGCGAATCACCCATCTCTCTTCATTACTGTAGGATTACGGTGAAAACTTCAAAGAGGGTTTTGAGCCATGAAAGGCCATATTTTGCTTCAGAAACGAAACAAAACAGCCTGAAAACTTTTACACTAGGCTAACTAGAGTTAGCAATTCTAACTGTAATGTTTTCAACTTATTATGATGCTTTATTGAAAAGTTATGCCAGGTAAGAGGTAACGGCCATTTTTTCAATGTTCCTAAAAAGTGCGGTTACAGTATTTAGAAAGCTTCGCAATTTTGTGAATAGTTGAGTATTGAACTCAGCTTCCATTAAAACCCTATCACACATGTTTTCACATTTTTTGAAAAATTTTGAAACGGCAGCTTTTTCCACATTGACACCATATGTTTCAAGTTTCTACCGTAATCCTACAGTAATGAAGAGAGATGGGTAATTCGTTGCATACTGCAAATCTAAGTTGAAGCCAGCTCTACAAAACGGTACCTGAAGCAAGGTAAAAAACTTCTTGGGAAACGAGATATTAACGATCAAACAGTGTATACATACTTTACGGACACCCTGTACTAGAGCGATTTCTATCATGATGTTTCCGTGTACACTTGTGATTTTGCTCTTCTAGATTTTTTTCTTATTGAAAAGTGCATTTGCGATGAATTGTGGTGAATAAACTGGGAAGGAGAAGCTATATTCGAAAAAAAAGCTGATTGCGAATACGACTAGAATAATAGCTTCACTGACTACTTAAACTTCAAAAATGATGACTTTCTCAAAATTTCCTCAAACGTGAATTTATCATCATGAACAGTAATCTGGTTATGAAATTTTGGGTTCTGAGCAAATCCGCCAGCATGTCCGCTATATCATGAAGATTCTCACCTAATGCACGAGTATAATGAAAGACACGACTTTGCCATAGAGCTGTGAATTACACTTTTGTGTGATCCTAGATTCCCAGGAAATCCTCCTCCCCCCCCCTCCCTCTCGCTTTCATAATCGTATATCTTTTAGAAAGTCGATAAAAAAGTTGTAAATTTGTACTGGGGATCTATTATGACACTACTTAACAGGTTCTTAGTAGAAATAACTGAAATCTCAGTATTGGGATCTTCGATGAGCCACGGTTTATGAGCTGGGGTTCATCGAAAACTCGAAACTTCACGTTCCATTTGTCCTTTCGAAAACATTCCTAGCAATGCCATAATAGATCTTCAGTACAACTTTACGACGGTACAACTTTACGACGTTTTCATCAAGTTACTGGAAAAGTGTACGACTGACCCTAAGAGATCACAAAACAGTGTAACTCTGAGCTTGTATGGCGATGTTCGTATGTTCATGTCATTCGTAATGCTCAAGTATCAAGATAGGAGGAGCTTCATAATAAACAAACAAAGAGAATAAGGATATTTGGAGCGGCGAGATATGACGCATCCCCTTCAGGTCCTCTCCCATCCCCAGCGGGGATATACGTGCATAGGCCTTGGTGTGCCATTTAACAAAGACAGTCATGACTTAACGCTCGTATATAGTATCAGTTTAAACATATCATACTATCGTTATGTCTCATTAAGAGAATGAGGTATCACACAATCCGTAGTGATGATCGTTTTGTCGCATCCCTAATCTACCAAAATTGTCGTCAACAAATGTCATGTTCGACAACAAGTAGATCGGAGACAACCATCGCGAGCGACCCCGAGATGGAGGTGGCCTTGCCGTTTACGCACAAAAATGAGAAATTGACTCTAAAAAAAGGTAAAACCGACCATTAAGTATGGCAACACCCAAGCAATTTGCAAAATTGTCAGTTTGAGCGGAGATGGTGATGGTCGATGACTTTCGAGCAGGAAGTAGTTAGCGGCCGTTCGATAGAGCATCGTAGTGCTAAGATAATCATCAAAGGTATAGATGGATGGGCTAGTGGAGAGTGTGTGTGAGACAAAACATGCCGCTCCGCGGATGCGTACGACTCGATTAAATCGTATCGCGTTGCCGTACAATTGTCGTAGGGCGTTTAAGGCCTCTGAGTACGAAAATTACTCTTTTTGGTGGGTATAAATCACCGCAGAAGTTTTTGTCGTGTGTTACTCATTGTAAAATGAATCAAAGGATATACATGATTTCCCTTAGAAAGAAGCATAAACAATCACATTCATTGCTGGGTTATGTTAATGAAGCTTGTAATAATGGTCTAAATTAGTGTGTGCTCAAAAGATAAACACTTGCGTTATCCTTGAAAAAGATTGTTTTCCGAAAAATAGAAACAGAAAATATCTTAATCTCCCAAGAACCCAATCGTAATCAACCCACAAATTTTTGATTTGAGAGTAGGCTCTTGTCGCCAGAGCAAATCAAGTATTAACAGAATCAGTATTAATGAGAACTAAAATCATGCTTCTGTTACTAGCGACCCTACCTACGGGTTGATAGCAAGTGGGTCGTGGCAGATAATTAGGCTAAGTGAGTACAATTTCCACATGAATTTCCTACTCCTTTTTTGGAAACACTTTTGTAAAAAGAATTTCGATAAAGGAGGACTGCTCAAGAGGCAATATACTTCAAAAATCATTGAGCATTTTGTAATCCTTGCCATAACCATGCAAAATCAAATGGAAACTTTCCAATTCAATTACCACGCTCTCTTGGCAAATCTTATCTTTTCACAGAGCCCCATTCAGATGATGAAAAATTCCACGCTGTCCTCTAAAAAATTTGCTTTATGCAGTTCTTTTCAACAAATTTTTTGAAAGATCGTTAGGAGAGTATGGCCGGCGTCCAGAATTGCGCGGCGGGTTGCGGACTTTCCATGATTACAAGGATAAGCTTAACGAGAGAGTACGAAATCAATGCTATAACATGGAGGCTCAACAAGTTTATTCTTGTAATTAGGGAAAGTCCGCAACCCTTCTCCACACGGATCTGGGAAGCGATGATAGCAGAATGCCCATCGTTTTGGAAGTAAAAGGCCACACGATGATGTATACTACAGAGAATACAGCTTTTCTCTCAAAATCAATTTTGGCAGCAAAATCAACTGTGTCAAGGCTTTGTCAAAGAGTATTCCAAATTAGGATTTTTTAGAATAATGTAAATGAAATATCACTATAAAAAGGACCCTACCTTCAAAAACCATGACTACCGAACTCGCGATTTTCTTGCGCTATTATGCCCAAATATTTAGCGAGATCTAGGCAAAGGCAATCGATTAACAGTTTTGAGAGACGAAATTCTCGGCAACGACATCCTCTATGCACCGCTTAAACACCGTAATTTAAGAAATTACCTTACGACTTCTTTAGAAAAAACAACAAAATCGTGAATTAGCTTACAACGTATCCTCAAATTGCCCTACGTGCCACCTAAGGATCGTCAAGTATTAGAATTTCCCAAACGTACAGGAAATCCATTTTCCTGCCCAGTCAAAATGCTTACCTGCAGAAAGCGCATGTTTACGTGCCGCTCAGAGGCAGCGTCCCGGCAATTTGATACCGGGATTTTACAGTAATGGTGACCCCTAGTTAATCTATCGCTGAAGCCTGGAGCGAGAAAAAGCGTCTAGAAAACCCAAAATCGTTCCGGACGTCTTTTGGACTTCGCACACTTACACGTGTTTTGGAGCGCAAGTGGACACAGAGAGCTTCAAAAAAAGCCCTTTGCCATTTTCAAGCGCAGAAAGGCGCAGATCTGGTTTCGCGGCTCCGAACAGTTGGAAAACCGAAGAGCGGAAATTCGCCAGGACAACCTCTAAAAAACGTATTTATACGAAAGAACTAACTCCTACGGAAGAAAAAACAACAAAATTGAGCATTTACTTACAACGTATTCTCAAATTGCCCTACCTGCCACATAATGACTGTCAATTATAGAGACTGCTCCAAACGTCAAAAAAATCTGTTTCCCTGCTTACTCACGTTCTACGTGCCGCTTACAGACCGATATTTACTTGGAAGAAAGGCCAGGTGGACCCAGTTACACATCAGAAACAAGGCTGTTCACAGATAAACGCTTTCAAAAGTGCCAGCGGAATCCAGTTACTTACGCGCTCTTCTGTCTACAAGCGAAAGCTAAATTTTCTCGGTTGAATGTTTTTAGAGCATTGTTTACCAAGCTTCATGAGAACATACATAAATGTAGCTCAAGTTGCCTGTTACGCAATTTGGCATCATTTCAAAAGCAAATAATAGGAGCACAATACTGACCAACACAGTCTAAGATAACAAGCGTGAAAAAAAATCATTTCGTACAAATGACACGCACTATGACACACGACACATTAGTCTAATACTGACATTTAAGCTGTAACTTGCTTAGACTTAAATTATATCGCTGAATGTTTGGCCACGCCCCAAAATTTTGCTGACCGCTTGCAGAAAAGCGCGAGTTTACGGACCGCCTGCCTCCGGCGATTATCTAACAATAAGTAGGTGAGACTGGGCGCCATTGAGTGTGCGCATTAGTGACATTCAGCTAATAAGAAGTGGCAAAGCATAGTAAGTCCACTCGAACATAGATTACTAAAGCGCGTCGGTATTGGCTACAAGATTAGGTGGATTTTGGCTTATGAATATCTCTATAGGCTGTAACAGCCGGCATCGGTCCCGCGCCAGTATGCCTTGCGACGACGCACCGTCGCATGCGACGTGCCTTAGCGCGTAGCAGTCCGCACGCGTCACGCGACGTCGCATGGCCGATGCTGGTTGGTACAGCCTATATAAGGTTGTGTGCTCGTACTCAAGCAGCCTCATAGTGTCCTGGGCTGTCACTTTGACATCGCACTCGATATACATCGCGAGCGGCTGCAAGCAATAACAACGGTGATATACTTGGTGGATAGTGTTTTGCTCCAGAAAAAAAATCTACTTCTACCTCAGATGAATCGAGTGACAAGTGGGGGGGAGGGGGATGTTTGACGGCCAAGTAATATAGGTGGCTTACGCTTTTTAGCTTCTGAGTTCGGCGTCAAGCCAAAACGTTGGGCAATAAAAAGTATATCATCTATACTAATCTGTACCGCACAAGAAAAACTGAAATAGTATTAGGTCGTAACAGAATTAATGCAGGTTTTCTGAATTTTGTGTTTAAATCATTATAACTTTTTACAAAAATAGTCTTTTCGTGTGCAACAAAAATTGTTGTAATCAGCAAACCTTTTTCAACTCATATGCACTATTATGTTGTTGTAGCTTCACTGAGAAGAGTATTATAGCCCGTATTCTGCCAAGAATTTTTTCGGAAAACCTTCACTTTGAGAAACCATAACTTACTATCATATATAGTAAGGTAGCGCAAATATAACTCACTGTATAGCCTATAGCCGGTAGTGCAGCAGTGCTAAATTCGGAATTGAGAAAGAACTTTTTGGGAGAGAAAATTTTAAAAATTTTGAAAGTACTCATTTTTCGACTTTTCTAAGAATTTGAAAATTCGCTTTTCTGAAACTTTTGAATTTTTTCAAAGCTGAATAAGGACAACGGCTCCCGGTTTTTTCAGCCATAAATGTCTAAAATCTATTCTTCCTATATAAAGCGGAAGCTTCGCAGTCGCTTTGCGCTGAGGATTTCTATGTGGGGCAGACGGACCACAGCGACCGTTGAATTTTGCTCCAAAATTTTTCGGCTCAGATGTTTTTGGAATTCATGATTCAACATGCATTTTGTGACATAGCTCACTCAAAAATACTATGCAAATTTGCAGCGAATTCCAATTGTTTATGGTGGTTTTAGAGCCAGGTTTATCAAAAGAAAGAATTTCGAGATTTGCTTTCTCAGATTCACGGGCTCAGAACTTCTAGACAAATTCACTTCCACTAAACTCAGACAATCGCCGGGGGCAGGCGGGCACCGGAAAAATAGATTGCTGATCTCTCGCATCCCGCTCGCGGATTTTTTGGAAAGCAATCAGGACTTTTCGGAAGACCGCTTGCTGAGTCAGCGGATTTTTATGAGACCGCCTGTTGAATTTTTTTTCGCTCTTATCTTTTGCAGATATATTGCAGAATCTCTGAGGAATCGAGAACTCAGCAAGCGGCCTTCCGAAAAGTCCTGATTGCTTTTCAAAAAATCCGCGAGCGGGGTGCGAGAGATCAGCAATCTATTTTTCCGGTGCCCGCCTGCCCCCGGCGATTGTCTGAGAAAACCAAAGAGTGGATAAGAAATTAGAAGAAATAAGCTTTCAAATGATATGCAAAACTCTCTGAGAAAACATTGGCCGTTTCTAAATCAGCATTTTGAAAAAGGTGCGCGAGAAACCTGCATTAATTCTGTTACAACCTAATACAAATCACCAGATCACTGAAAATAATGATGGTGAAACGCTCCAAATAGCATCAGATGCAGAATCTTCTTTTCCCTTTGGTATGATTTCATTTATATAATCCAGAATCTCTAACCCATGATTTTACCTACCCTGACTATGGCTACTTTTGAATTTTTCATTTCAGACTTTTGCAAGAGCTGCGACAACGGTTGAATAAAGAAAAAAAAATGCACCACAGTACATTTATTTCGGTATCTATAGCTGGAACTACCTTCCCTGATATTATTAATTTTTTGTATTTGGGCACCCCAAAACTCATAGAACATAAAATGGCGAGCAGTTAGGATGCCATTCGACGCAGCTTTTTCTCCTCTTTTTCTATAAGATGTTTTTCTTAACTTCGCGAAAAAAGATCATCGTATTGTTTTTTTTCTGTCTTAATGTTGCCAAGGCTCTTCCAAAAGTCGGGATAAAACTTTCAAATTTAGCTAAATTAGGTTTTGACTTTGACCTAGGTTCTGACGATTGTATGAACAATCAGGGGAAGACTTGAAACAAAAACATCACTGCTAAAAGGAGGAAGAAATTCTGCATCGACTTTCGGTGCTCACTCGCCTTATTCAGTGGCAAGATCAAAAATTCTCGATAAGTTCGACTGCATTTTGTCGTGCGCAGCAAAGCTGCTAGTATTTGAGTAATCGAGTGGCAAATGTTTGAGTGGTTCTTCATTTGTCGAAAAAATGGTAGTTTAACACGTTTCGGACCGGGCACATGGTGCAGCACGCTGCTTCGAAGGATCTTTTTGACATTCATAGGGGTTTTCGTTTAGTCCAAGGTTATCGAGTCGAAGGCCTAAGTCCTACTTTCCAAATGACTCTGTAGAGCTGTGTCGCCGATATCTGTTCAGAAGATATGGGGGCAAATCGAATAACACTTGCAACGAAGTGCGGCGACGCGAACAACGCGCGCGACGTCGCAACTTTTCTTTGCTTATATTTTAAAGAGAAAAACCGTAGTTTCCATAACGATGCGTACAGTGTAGAACATAGATACTTTCAAGTACTATTAGAGGCTGAGATCTTGTTCCTATCTTTAAAGAAAGCACGGAAGTTCCTCTCGACAAAATTCGCACTTTAAATTCACTCAGAACTTTGGGTATGGAGCTTATCTGACAGGCTGATTACAGATGTAGGCTGTATTCTACGAAACAAGGTCCTTTTGTTGGCTAACGACTGAAAGGACCTTCTTTTTCGCCGCGCGCGATTTCTCGGTCCGAAACGTGTTAATGAATTTTTTCGTTAGCTCGGATAAATGAAATTCTGTGCAAGCTCTTTTTACATTTACACGTATTCGACCATTCGAATAATCGAATAATAATATTCCATTTAAAATCTACTGTTTGGATGTTTGAATATTTCGAATCTTAAAATAAATTATTCATTTAGAGTAATCAACGACATTAGAAAAAATTACGGTAGCATCTTTATCTCGACGTGGAAATAGAACAACTGATCATTTTTTTTAGCAGAAGCTAGAACAGTTTACAAATATAGAATCAGAAGCGAAGGGACACAGATATTAATCGTGTAAATCTGTCAGATAGATATGTGTTTTCATAGCGAGCAAATGCACAATGCCGTTCCTTGACCAAGGAAGATGCTTTTTTGGCGCAGTGGGACATCAACATAAATTGTTTCCTCAGGCTCAAACCACAACCTTCTTTCGGTGAGTTATCTTGTGAGCTGAATATCTGTCTGTCTGTATATCTTTCTGTCTGAATGTATGTTCCAGTGGCGTACCGAGGGGAGGGGGGCGCGCCCCTCTTCCTCTCCCCCCTCCGAAAATGGGTTGCGAAATTTTGAAAGTTACTTACATATATTATAAAAATGTGCGGCTTTTTTATTTGTAGATGGCTGATTTTTTAAACTCTTGAAAAATACAAACTAGCCATGTAAAAAACCCCTCTTTCAAAAATTTTGGGGTCAGGGGACCGCAAAAAGTTTGGGAAGCATCCCAAAAATTTTTTCGGAGTGCATGGCTGACGCCACGCAACTTCATCCGAAAAAATTTTTTTGTCGCCTCCCCCCCTCCGAACGGAAATTCCGGGTACGCCACTGGTATGTTCGCGTGTTCCAAATAGAAATTTGGTACATTTCCGGATCCATTTTCTCAAAGAAAAAAAATTGCTTCTGTCCTTGTGCCATATTTTGTCCCAGCTTCACAGGAAAGTGTGTCAAGCTTCTGTCACGTATCAAAAAATTTGACATGTCATCTACATGTTTAACAGGTTTTACCAAGAGTTTGTGTTACTCTGTAGCGATGTAAGTTTAACCTATTTTTTAGCTAATTTTGACCTCATTTCGATTAAACAGTTTCAAAGTGAACACTGTCAGAATAATAACGACATACTATCATCGATGAACGGATTAGACTTGCTCAGGATAGAGAAGTGCGCTAGGATTCCGTTATTTAAGACGCAAAATAAGCAGCAGCCAGGTACTTCAGTGATTTCATTTGTATTTGTATCATTTGTAGTTTTTTCGGTTGAATTCGCATGGCGAAAAGGATATAAAAAATTACATTTTTGAGTCATTGCTGAAAGCAAGCAAGGTGTTCTAGAATAAGTTCATGATTGTTTTGTGCTTATGTAAAACAGTTAAGAAGCTTAATGATCACGAATTTTCTTTTATCTCACCGGAAATGATTTTGAAAAAAATGTCAAAATGGATCAATACGCGTCAATTTTTTCGTGACACGTGGCAAGGAGGCAGTCATTGTAGAATCTAGAAAAATTATTCTTAGGCTAAAGAACGTTTAATATGAGAGCCTTTTGAAAAAATGGGTCCGGGTAACGGAAAAGTACCAGAAATTATTTCTGAATCGATGCACACATACACTTCGGCACGGAGCAAGTGCCATAAACCACTTTTCGTTATTGATCGATATCGATTTTATCGATTCTTATCGATTTCACCAGTTTTGAGCTAAGGGGCTGGGAGCAGAGATAGGGGTAAGTGAGGATGCTGATTACAAATACAAAATTAATTTTCAAAATTATCGTATACTATTATCGGCTTTATGTTCTTGCAAAATTTGACCTACGGGGCTGGGAGTTGGCGCAGGGATAGTAAGTAGCATGCTGTTTACGAATACAATGTTAATCTTTAGAATCAATGAATACTTTTACCAATTATATCGATTTTCTGCAAAGTGTTTAACCTACGGACTGGAGTCGCAGAAGGGGAGCATGCTGACTACAAAAATTATGGGGAAGGGGATCTGGCGAAAAGTGAGGCAGGGGCAGGAATAATGCGACCGAGCAGAGCCAGGCATGCCAGCTAGTCTCACATATTTTTGTATAATGTGACAGGCAAATTCATGTCAATGGCACAATCAATCGTAATAACTCCTTCAACAACTCGGTCCCGAACGGAACATCGACCTAAAAAACTTTGTGAGGACCTTTAACAGTAAATTCCGCACTAACCGTTTGATCTACCCAGTTGCCAAGCGACGCTATGGCACTTTTCCGTAGAGCGCTGAGCACCTAAACACTGTAAGCCATCACGAAATGATCGCTAAATTTGCGTGATTAGTCGGCAAACAGAACAATCCGTACTGAGAAGTAAGTAGTTTGTAAGGTAGCTTCATTCACGTCGCTATAACATGACGCCAACATATCATTGACAATTATTCTTCCATTTGATGTCAAAGGCGAGTAGATGCCTCGTCTTTCCGTTACAGAGATATGCTGAAGTTTTTGCAGCCGGAAGCTATCCTGAAAAAGAACTGTTACTTCAGCCCTGATGAATTCGGTAATAATTGCTCACCTTATAGAGAAGGTACACACAGTCGCCCACCTTCAACTGTTCGGCATATACAGCCTCGCTATTGGAAGGGAGGAGATTGACGCGATCATTGTACAATTCTAAATTTCCTCTACAACGTTTGCTTTCCAACAAGTATCTGGTAAAATCACCTTGACATTTGTTTCTGAAAATAAAATGGCGACCGCTTAGCGCGAGCATTTTCCCGTAATCAGTCATTATCGTGACGAATTTTGTCGTGACATTTGGTGCACGGTGTATCCAAAACGATATAGGTGCATAATAAGCCTTCAAGAGAGAGAGAGAGACGTACTAGCATATCGGTACTAGATGCAAAACTTACGGTAGTTAGGTCTGCCGTCAGAACAAAATCACCGACTTTCAAATCATCCATGCGTTTCTTCCCAGCTGGTGTCGTTACCCATGTGTCCGTAGAAAAGCAGTAACCTTTTTGCGAAAATAAGTGCCACATCGAGCTTACGATAACACTTACTTTGTCCACCACCTCCTGCAGAAGGATATACTGCAGGTGGCACATACTGGAGTACAGCAGGAGATGCAAAAACAGGGGGAGCATTCACTGCAGCCGGGACAGCCGCTGCAGGTACAGGTGGAGAAGGAAGTGCAAACGGTGCCGGAGGTGAAATTTGGGAAAGAGATGCAACTTCTCCTCCGAGGAAAGGAGGCTGTGCACCACCGCCCACTGATTCCACCAACTGCATGGGCTAAAGCTTCAATAAAATTTTGTGCTTTCTAATAGTGAAGACGAACACGAAAGACGACTTACTGGGGCGGGTGCGAATTCTGGCGGAGGCTGAAAACGTGGTACAGAAGTGATACTCATCGGAATTTAAAACAAGTGTCTCACTGCTTTGCTGGACTCGTAGGTGAGGGCATGATAACCTCCGCTGTCAATCTTGCAAGTACTTGTACTATAATGGTGAGTACGCCAAGTGAAGTCCGCATGCGAAACGATGGTCTCGAAGCTAGTGCCAAACCGTTTTTGAACGCTTCCAGAGATGTCCTTCACAAAAGCATTAGAATATGAGTTCCAGAATGATGTAAATACAGTTCACCGCTAAGCACAAAAAATGGACAAATTTAAGCTCATCACCACTATTGGTCTACTCAGCTAGCACCACTGAGAGCGACGAGTGGAGGGTGGAGCTCGTCTTCCGCGCGCGCTTCTCCTGGGCTCTGTATCTCTCTAGCGAGCGTGCTCTTAAATTATTTTCCCATCACGAAAGTGAGAAAGGTGGAGCTTCGATCGCTAATCAAGCTTGTGAAACTGAATGGATACGCTCGCAAGAAGATGCACGCCTAGACGCGACGGCCGCGCGGGAGTCGAGCCCCACCCACCACGATAGCTTAGACCGAATCAGATAATAATTCGATTAGTCGATGAGATCATTCGAAAGCGGATGATACGAAAATTCTAATATTTGAAATTATGAGATTTCGAATAATATTCGATGGTTGAATATTCAGAAATTTTCATCCCGAACCTGTCCGAAAGTCAAATAATCGAATTCAATAGTCCAATAGTGGATGGCAAGGGGACGAGTGGCATAGTGGTATGACGCGCTGCTATGACCAGATCGATCACAGGTTCGATCCACGCCCATGGGCCAGCCAAACCCTCTTACCCTGCGAGGCTGGTAAATTGGTACTAGAGTAATATGGGAAGATAAAGGCACTGACTTGGTAAACGGCTGGCCTCCTGCTGGCCTTCAACATTCGATGGTCATTTTCGACCATTCGAATTTCATCGAATAATTAAATATTCGATGAGTACCGAAAATTCGATGAGTATTGACTTTTCGAAAAATCGATGGTCATTTAATCAAAAATTCGATATCCGTAGCATATATAGATTGTTTCAAAATACACACTGCTTGATCGCCTACTCTCTTACGAGGGTTTTTGCCAACCTTGGAGTACCATTCTGAAGGGCTGGATTCGCTTCCACTTACATTTCAGCATATAGAGCATATTTCAGCAAACACTCCGAAAGATGCCTTATGAAAGTTCGCAGGAAATCTAGAATTTGGTGGAACACAGTTTTCATGTATGCTAATTTTACTGATTGTACGCAAATTTTCAGTTTTTCAAGCCCTTTGAATATGCAATCAACTTTGTGAAAACACTGGAAAACATTGATTACGGTGTCCTTGGCATAACTTATAAAGCATTACGGTTGTGTGCAGAAAAAGGCTAATGTAAATTTTTGATTTTTCTGATTTTCTTTCTCAGGCAAAAAATACTTTCGTTGTCTTAAATTTCAAATTCAAATCTCTACAGTCCTCCTAAAATTTGTAATCTTACGTTAGTGAAGAGCGATCGACGAATCTCTCCCAGGGCTCGGCACGAGGTGGCTTACAAGCAAGCTGGGTATCGTTTTTGGGATGAAAAGCAAAGGGGGTTTCGTTTTTGTGACCGAAGGCACACGCAAAATTGGCGATTTGGCGACGTTTTTTTTAGTCGACGTTTCGTTTTTTGGAGGATTTTAAGGGAAAATGGTGGGGGGTCAAAGGGGACTTCGTAAAAATACCCAAAAGTCAAGGGGGACTTCGTTTTTCGCATTTTCATCTAGCCACCTCGTGCCGAGCCCTGATCTCTCCATAGCAAATTTAAGCTGAAGCCAGCCTTACAGAATTACCTAAAGTTCGGCGAAAGACTGTGAGAGGTATGATTGCCGTTTTCAATGTGCAGTTGGTGCTCAGTTTCATTAATCACGGTCGCCAAGATTTAAACTGATCGTCTTCAAAATTCTAAAATTTGCTTCAAAGACAAATAGAAGTAGGTTTCTGGGCTCTCAAGTTTCTTGATGTCACCACCAAGCGTTTCTCCGTCAAAAATTGTACATCCAATTCATTTAAATAATATTCGAGAATCGAAGAATATTGGAAAGAACGGATTCAAAATTTTTTTGATTTCCCTAGGTATGCCCACCACCCGTCATTTCTAATAAAACAAAGGGTAGACACTCTGTATCATTTATAGTGTCACTGTTGCAGGTACGCGTTTGCAGCGCTAGGCGCGTGTCGTAATCCTATTGATGAGGCGATTGAAGGTGCGAATTCAGCGACCGGCGAAGAATTTGTGGACTAGTGATTTTTTTCGCACACATACTGCTGCGTATTGTGTTAAAACCAATGATACACAAGGGTGATGTCACGCGGCCGTATTCGTCCTTTACGAAGCCAATTTCTGATCAGATCAAACGCCTGCAAAGACCGGAAGACCCTCGCGGGGCCTATTGCCCACGAACGGCCTGTCCTACGATCATTCCACCCCTAACAACCAAATCTGCGCTCTAAGCCCTTTCCCACGCTTAGGCGTGGGAGGATCAGACAACAACACGAATGCGGCGCAAGGTCCAGCCGATGGGCGCAAGAGCAAACCTGCAGAGTTGAGCTCATTTCATATGAGACAATGGTATGTATTCTTTGCCGCATGCATTAACACCCACCCCACCGGGGAGGGGAGAGTAGCTTAAAAAAAAGAAACTTTCATATGGTGAAGCTCCAAATACCTGATTTCATGCTATCTACCAGTGACGGGCAGAGGCCCCCCCCCCACTCCACCCGCGAGAATTTGTCGGGAAATCTTTGAAATTTACTTACATGTATGTGAAAATGTGCAAGTGACTTGTTTATTCTTGCAAATAATTAAAACAATTTTCAAGATTAAAATTCAAATTAGCCTTGTAAGAAAATTTGGTACTTTTCCGTTATCCGGACCCATTTTTTCAAAAAGCTTTCATAAAATACGTTCTTCAGTCCGAGAACAATTTTTTATGGTATCCGCGAGGACTGCCTTCCTGCCACGTGTCAGAAAAATATTGACAGTGGTCCATTTTGACATGTTTTTTTTTCGAAATCACTTCCGGCGAGGTAAAAGAGCATTTGTGATTATCTAAAAGCTGTTCAATTGGTTTGTCTAAGAGCAAAACAATCTCAAATTTATATTAGAACATCTTGATCGCTTTCAGCAACGATTCAGTATTCTCTTTCTCTTCAAACTTTTCGTCTTGCGTATTTAGCCAGACGAGACTATGAATGACGGGTTAAAGTTTCTTGCTATTGCTTGTTCTGTCATTTAGATGATGGGATCTTAGTCCACTTCTCTACTCTTAGCAAGTCTAATCTGTTTAGTTAGTAACAGAATGACGTTATTATGATAACAATGCTCATTTTTGATACTTTTTAATCGAAAATGGAGCCACTATTGACTAATAAAGAGATTGAACTTACGTCGCTAGGTAGGGCAACTCAAACTCTTGGTTAAACCTGTTAGACATGTAAATGACAAATCAAATTTTTTTTGACACGTGGCAGAAGGTTAACACTCCTTCCTATGAAGTCGGGACCGAATATGGTACGAGGGAAACAGCAATATGCTTCTCTCAAAAAATGGGTCCGGATAACGGAAAAGTACCGAAAAATTTTTTGGGGGGCGTGGCTGCCGACAAGCCCCCTTTTTCTAGATTTTAGGGTTCATGAGTCAGCAAACATTTACGAAACACCTCATTTCGGAGTGTGTGGCTGACGCCATGCACTTCGTCAGAAAAATTTCTGGTCGCCCCCCCCCCGGTCCAAAATTATGGAATTATGGCTGCCACTGCTGTCTACCTATCCGTAAGTATTTCTACCATCGTTCACTGTGAACATCTTGAATAGGAGCGAGACGTGGTACAAGCCGCATTTTCCAGCTTTTTGTACGAGCCCCTGATAATCCCTAGCGGCCAACCTTCTTTTCCATAAAGTCTTTTTTCTTTCTTCAAAGTTAACGTATTCCAAAACTGTTATGGTTATCTAACCCAGCATGTTAAGCATGTTGCTGATGAAATATCGAAAGTTTATCGAAACTTTCGATAAACTCAACTCTCGACTTGTGGTCCGCAAATGTCATGATTCCAATACATCATTTGTTCTTATCAGCAACATGCTTAGCACTGTTCGGTTAGATAATCAATACAATTATGGAATGTTTCCATAGACTTCGAAGTAAGAAAAATGAATTTGAAGAAAAAACGGTCGGCCGCCGGGGATCATCAGAGGATCATACAAAAAGCTGGAAAATCTTGTACAGCTTCAAGCTCCTGTTCATATGTTCATTGCGAAGAAGAGTAGGATTACTTAAGGATAGGTTGACAGCTGAATTCCAAACAGCTGGAGCTTTAGGATATAAAGCTTTCTTTCAAGCTGCGATCCCCTCCTCAGCATGAATGTTAATGTATGGGCCCTTTGTCGACATTCTTACTCTGGATATCGCTCGAACAGTTTTTCCTGCTGCTGACTGGTTTTGTTTCGCTTTGTCTATAGCACGAGTGATTTCATACTGTAGTTCTCCATCGCAGCATACTTCTCCTGAAAGGCTCAACCGTAAACTAAATCAATGAAATATGCTGGGCTACTTAGTTTTGCCATACTGCTGTTGACTGAAGCCTGATAAATTCATTATCAATCAAGATCAACAGACCACTAGCTTTATCTACTGAAAAGTCAATATATGCCAACACGTTAAGAACCTTGATATCTGACTGTTTATGCTTTATCCTTACCTTCTAAAGCTTCTAGTTTTTCTGGACAGTCCACAGGAATGGCTGGTCCGGAGTCATCATAAATGTCACTATGTATGGAATACTGAAGAAGTTTCTCTCACTACGAGCAAACCCGACGTACAGATCTTCATATATATTAGGTCGCCCCGAAAGTTCTTTCGCACCAAATTCAAAAATTCATAACTAGTCGAATTCTCAACGAATTTACAAGGTCTACATTTTCTGTAAGAAAGAAACTCATGCTCTTTGCTTTCGTCTTCGAATGGTTCGTTAATGTGTACAAATGAAGGAGATAGAAGCTCAAAACCAAAATCACTCAAAATTTGAAGTTTTCGTGTAGGTTCATGAAAAATCGGAAACTTGCAACAAAAATCGGAGCAGTCGATATTGTAGGTTCGTTTATCCGCTCTTTCCAAGAGTGCAAAATTTGCGCCGATTGAGCGTCTTTATGAAAAGTTATGATTTTCGAGCAAGCAATACAAAAGGGCGAACTTGATTTATTTTGGCATTTTTCAGGGAATTCCTAATATGTATATCAGTGGTGGGCAGAGGGGGGAGGCGGGGGGGGCGCTCCCCTCAAGAATGGGTCGCGAAATTTTTGAAAGTCACTTATATGGGTTATAAAAAAGTGCAAGTGACTTGTTTATACTTGTAAATAATTAAAATAATTTTTAAAAATTATTAAAAATCCAAATTAGCCTTGTAAAAAATTTTTTTCGGTGGCGTGGCTAACGCCACGCCCCCTTTTTCCAGATTTTAGGGGTTGAGGACCCGCAAAAATTTTGAGAAGCACCCCAAAAATCTTTTCGGAGTGAGTGGCTAACGCCACGCACCTTCATTTGAAAAAAATTTTGCCGCCCTCTCCCCCCCGAGCCGAAATCCTGGGTACGCCACTGATATATATACATATGTATATATATATATATATATATCAGTGGCGTACCCAGGTTTTCGGGGGCGACAAAAATTTTTTTCTGATGAAGATGCGTGGCGTTAGCCACGCACCGAGAAAAATTTTTTTGGCATGCTTCACAAAGTTTTCGCGAGCCCATAACGCAAAAAATTTTTTTATGAGGCTGAACTGAATTTTAAAAAAATTTTAAAGATTATTTTAATTACTTACCAGTATAATTAAGCCTTTTGCACATTTTTATGACTCATGTAAGTAACTTTCAAGAATTTCGCGAGGGCGCTCCCCCCCCCCCCCCCCTCCTCGGTACGCCACTGATATATATATATATATATTAGGTTGTCCCGAAAGTTTTGTCGGTTGTTTTCATCGCTCACCCAAACTCACAGAAAGCCATTCCATGGACGACCTAGGTACCATTCTATTCAGATTTTTATCCTCTTCTTACAGCTATATTTGTTTTCTGATCTACCCCGTCTTTGTGATGTTATCGCAGTGGCTTTTTGAGCACCTCAGCGTAGCGCCAAATCTTTCCTGAATTTTCAAAAATTTTTATAATGATATTTTCAAGGAGTCCTGGTGACCGTTATGTAGAGCAAACCTTTGGCTACACTGCACTTATTTTAGATTACGTGGGCCTCGTTTATTAAGTCCGTTATGATTATTTATTCAATAAAAACCGCGGCTTTTTAAATAAGTTTACCACGTAAAAGTACCGAAAATTTCAAAAAGCTGATTTTTGAAGCAAATCAAACTTGGTTATGTTGCATAAGTAGTGTTTAATGACAACCAAGTTTGAATTCGCAGAAACTTCAAAAGATTTTTTGCTTTTGCTGCAGTTGCGTTTTTCATGACTTTGCTGAAAATCAAGGCCTCCGAAGAAATAATTTTTTTGATCTAAGCACAGCAGATTAAAAGAATCAAAAATAGCTCCGTAAAGTCCTGGAAATGCTCTATTTGATCCATACTCAACCCTCTCCGAAACTACTTTGGAACGAAATTTTTGAAAAATAGTCTAACTTTAAGCAGATAAAAATGGCGGGTGAAGAATTTTGGCAATTATCAAAAAAAGCATACAGGAATACGGTTCGAAAATGTAACTATAAAAAAGAAAAGGAAAAGCTGCATCGAATGCACTTTAAAACTCATTCATATCTTTACTGTGCCTGGTTTTATAGTGGTTTGAATAAACCGACAAAACTTTCGGAAGAACCTAATATATATTAGGTGGGTGCAAAAGTTCTTTCGCCAGTTTTTCAAAAAATCGTAACTTTCTTCCAACTCAATCTCTTTGATCTTATACTCATTTGGAAGAGAAAAATCTTTCTCTTTACAGAATTTGATGGCATTAAAAAATTGGTTCCAGAAACTCAAAGAAGCAAGCTAAGGAAAAGAAAAAAATTACTCCGTATCCTATAGGGTTCGCTCTATCTACACGTCACTTGTACTTCTTCGCAGAATAGGTACAAAAATTTAGAAAAATAGCCGAACTTGACCATGGCAAAAAGCATGAGTCGCAAATTTTGGTAATTTTTCGAGAGCTCATTAGATATTATGCAATGCAGTTGTAACCATTAGAAAGAGGATGAATTGCTGCATCGAATGCTTCTAAGAACTTTCGAAAATCTTGATTCCATGAAATGTGGCGTTCATCTAAAAAAAGCGACATTACTTTCGGAACGACCTAATATACATCTTAGGTTGATGCATAATTCTTGCACCAAAATCTTAAAATTCTGTTACTTCATCCAGCTGCGATGAAATCTTTTGGTTCGATACATAGTAGAGAGAGCAAATCTTGCGCTTTTTGATGGTGCTCGAGCGAAAAGTATTTGAGGGCATATGGCAACGATACAAGGTGAATAAGGGATACCCAAAAAGTGATTTTTCGACCTTTAGTCACTAAAATTGCTAAAACGTCTACTAGAATTTAAATTTATTTTTGGTCTAAGTTTTATGGCATGCTCTTTTTAACTAAGAGAAGTTGGTAGTGATTGGATGTCTCTGCGAATACTTACGAATTTCGATTTTTTTGAACTGACTTATTGATTTTGTTTCAAATTGATTTTCTGAAATGTACTATTAAATACTACTTTTGATTATACATAACATAGAGCAGAACATGTAAGTTGAATAATTTGTTTAAGCATTTAAAAAAATTTTTTGTATCTTTTGGTGCAAGAACTGTGCATCAACCTAATGTATATATCAGTGGCGGACCGAGGGGGGGGGGCGTTAGCCACTCACCTTCATCTGAAAAATTTTTTGTCGCCCCCCCCCCTCCCGGTCCCAAATCCTGGGACCGCCATTGATATATATATATATATATATATATATATATATATATATACAGGGTGTCCCAAAAAAAAATATATCAAACGTTTGATCGTTAATATCTCTCTTCCCAAGAAGTCTTTTGCCTTATCTTAGGTACCGTTTTGTAGAGCTGGCTTCAACTTAAGTTTGCATTATAGAACGAATCACCCATCTCTCTTCGTTACTATAGGATTACGGTAGAAACTTGAAACATATGGTGTCAATGTGAAAAAACTGCCGTTTCAAAAATTTTTCAAAAAAATGTGAAAATTAGTGTATTAGGGTTTTTATGGACGCTGAGTTCAATACTCAACTATTCACAAGATTACGAAGCTTCCTAAACGGTGTAACCGCAATTTTTATAACACTGAAAAAAAGGCCGCTACCTCTTACCTGGCATAACTCTTCAATGAAGCATCATAATAAATTGGGAACTTTATAGTTATAATTAGCAACTCTAATTAGCTTAGTGTAAAAGTTTTCAGACTGTTTTGTTCCCTTTCTGGGGCAAAATATGGCCTTTCATGGCTCAAAACCCTCTTTGAAGTTTTCACCGTAATCCTACAGTAATGAAGAGAGATGAGTGATTCACTCTATAATGCAAATCTAAGTTGAAGCCAGCTCTACAGATTGGTACTTGAAGCAAGGGAAAAGACTTCTTTAGAAGAGAGATATTAACGATCAAACGTTCGATACATTTTTTTGGGACACCCTGTATATATATATATATATATATATATATATATATATACGGGTGTCCGTAAAGTATGTATACACTGTTTGATCGTTAATATCTTTCTTCCCAACAAGTCTTTTACCTTGCTTCAGGTACCGTTTTGTAGAACTGGCTTCAGCTTAGATTTCCAGTATAGAACGACTCACCCATCTCTCTTCATTACTGTAGGATAACGGTAGAAACTTCAAAGAGGGTTTTGAGCCATAAAAGGCCATATTTTGCCTCAGAAAGGAAGCAAAACAGCCTAAAAGCTTTCACAATAGGCTAATCAGAGTTGTTGGTTCTAAATGTAAAGTTCCCAACTTATTATGATGCTGCATTGAAGAGTTATGCCGATTAAGAGGTAGCGGCCATTTTTTCAATGTTCCTAAAAAGTGCGGTTATACCGTTTAGAAAGCTTCGCAATCTTGTGAATAGTTGAGTATTGAACTCAGCGTCCATAAAAACCCTATTACACAAGTATTCACATTTTTTTGAAAAATTTTGAGACGGCAGCTTGTTCCACGTTGGCACCATAGGTTTCAAGTTTCTACCGTAATCCTACAGTAGTGAAGAGCGATGGGTGATTCGCTCCATACTGTAAATCTAAGTTGAAGCCAGCTCTACAAAAGGTACCTGAAGCAAGGCAAAAGACTTGTTGGGAAGAAAGATATTAACGATCAAACAGTGTATACATACTTTACGGACACCCTGTATATTAGGTTGAACCGATAGTTCTGTCGCACCATTTTCAAAAAATTATAACTTCTTTTCCTCACAACGATTTTGCGCAGTTCAAATTTTCCTAAAAAGCGAAAAGCATCTAATTTCCAATGGTATCCTGAAGACTTTCCAACATGCTCAGGTTGCAGAGATAAAAATGAAAGAACGAGATCATCCGAAATTCGGAATTTTTAAACAAAAATTCTAAAAATCTAGAAACTGTGCGATAAAATCCAGAACAGCCATCCTAAGTTTTCTTATATTTTATTACTATCTGAGTTAAGTTTGTGCTAATCGAGGTCTTATTTCAAAAGTTATGATTTTTTGAAAAACAATGCCGAAAAATCAGTTTCCTAAGAATTCTTAAGAAATGGATTTTTTGGCATTTTTTTTTCAAAAATTCATAACTTTTGAAAGAAGACCTCGATCAGCACAAACTTGGCTCAGTTAGTAATCAAATTTATGAAAAATTAGGATAATGGTTTTTCTGGATTTTATTGCACTGTTTCTGAATTTCTAGAATTCTTGCTTAAAAATTCCGAATTTCGGATGATCTCGTTCTTTCATTTTTATCTCTGCCACCTGAGCATGTGGGAAACTCCCTAGGGAACTTTTAGGAACTACATGCTTTTCGCTTTCAGAGAAAATTTGAATTGCGCAAAATCGTCTTGACGGAAAGAAGTTATGATTTTTTGAAAATGGTGCGACAGAATCGGTTCAACCTAATATATATATAGGGTGAAAAAATGTGAACACTGTTTGATCGTCAATAACTTTCTTGCTTTTATGGCTTTCGCCGAGCTTGAGGCGCCATTCTGTGAAACGAGGCTAAACCTAGATCAGCAAGAAATAAATTTCCGATCTTTCTTCGTCACAGGATTGGTATAAACTTTTAGCATATGACGCCACGTGGAATGGGCCTTTTATTAAAAAAAAAATTCCAAAAAATCCTGAAATCTGAGTAGTAAGGTTTTTGGGCGCGCTGATTCCATACACAACTTTTCTCCAGTTTTTTTGAGCTCTTTTAAGGGTGTACTCGGACCTCTGATGACATTTGAAAAACAATTTTTACCCTAGAACAAAATAACTTATGAAGGAAGCATCAAGTGCAACTTTCACTTTCATGTAAAGAATCGGCGATTTCGATTAGTCCAGTACAAGAGTTTCTGGCTTGCTGGCTTTCTTCCTGAGGCAAAAATCGCTTTCACTTTCCTAAAATTCTCAAAGTTTGTACCGTAATCCTACAGTAACGAATGAAGATCGAAAATTCTTTCTATGCTGTATGTCTAAGTTGAACCTCGCTCTACAGAATGGTGCCTCAAGCTCGGCGAAATACTTGAAAGCAAGAGAGTTGTTAACGATCAAACAGTGTTCACATTTTTTTGGGACACCTGTATGTATACTATTATATATATATAGGTCGTCCCGAAAGTTTTGTCAGTTTTTTCAAACCACTATAAAACCACAATAAACATCTGAATGAGTTTCAACATGCATTCGATGCAGCTTTTTCTTCTCTTTCTTATGGATACATTCTCGAGCCACAATCTTGTATGCTTTTCTCGATATTTGTTGAAATTCTCCACCCGTTAATTTCATCTGCCCAAAGTTTCGACTAATTTTTGAAAATTTCATTCTGAAGTTTTTGAAATGTTTAAGTATGATTCTGATAGAGCAATTCTTGGACTACAAAAACATATTTTTAGATTCACCGAATCTGCTGCTTTTAGCTTGAAAAAAAATATTTCTTAAGAGGTCTCGATTTTTGGCAAAGTCATGAAACACACAACTGCAGCGAATACACGGAAGTTTTCAAAATTTCTGCGAATTGAAAATTGATTCTTATTAAACCTTATTTATGCAACATGACCAAGTTTGATTTGCCTTGAGAAAGCAGCTTTTTGGAATTTTCGGTACTTTGATAAACGTAATCAAAAATCGCGGTTTTTATTGAATAATTAATTATAAAACGGACTTGGTAAACGTGGCCCATGCAATTTAAAATAAACAAAATGTAGCCAAAGGTTTGCTCTACATAACACTTACCAGCGCTCTTTGAAATCATCAAGATAAAAATTTTCAAAATTCATGAAAAATTTGGCGTTACTGCTAAGCTGCTCAAAAAGCCATGGCGATAACATAGCAAAGACAAGACAGATCAGGGAGAAAATATAGCTCTGTGCAAGAGGATAAAAATCTGAATCAAATGTTACCTAGCTTGCCCGTGAATTGATGTTCTGTGAGTTTCAGTGATCGATGAAAGAAAACGACAAAACTTTCGGGACAACCTGATATATATATATATATATATATGTATATGTATATAGATAGAAACCTGCACTGGAGAGGCATAAGCCATCATATGGTAGCGGTCAACTCGGTACTTGCAAATTTCGTTGCCTGCGTAAGCACTCGCACTTGCAAAGTCGTCGGTCGAAATAATTACTTCAAAACTAAGTCGTAGTGTCCCTTCTGCGCTATATTGAATAGCCTGCAAAAACTCCTATTTATTTTGTTCACGCGATTCAGATTCAAACAGCATCACCCTAGCAATCCTTCTTAAATCGTAGAGATCAAAGTCATCTCGGCTTATTAAGGAGATATAAGAGCTCTGCATTACGTTGTAAAGTGGAAGACTGCAGCATTTTGAACCTCAAATAGAATATTGCCTCCATCAGATTAGTTATAAGTGTAAAAGATTGCGAGTTTTTTGGCAAGATTTGACCTGCTCGTTCACTATTACAGTGTGATCCTACAGGAAATCCCTCACGATCGCCACTAGAGTAGATTTTCAGAGGAGTATGAAAAGGCCGTTGTCCAGGGAGTGATGGCTGCGTTGCGCCTAGATCATCGGTGGCCGAAATCGAAGCAAGATACTCTTCATTCTCTACATCATTGATGTTGTACTGGAACATATGCGATCATGACCACTCTGTTCTGCACTGCACCTTACACACCTGCCTCGGGGTGGAGTAGGCTGCTATCGTAAAACCCCTTTCTTGGTACTTACAAGTCTGGTCCCCAAACCCGTACGAAGCCAATGCGAAGTCATTGGTAGAAACAATAACTTCAAAAGATTGCTGGAACCTTCTTTGAGCCCTGTTTTGAACAAGCTGAAATGCGACTGCAAATCAGCTAACACGATGAAGCAAAACCAACTAACACTTGCTATGTTTCCAGAGCTTGCAGCTGAAAATAAAGGTGAACTACTCAGCTCGTAGAGGGCATCTGACATTGTCTCGAAAAGCGCTCCGCTACAGCACTTATCTCCTACAGAATAAACCTTGCTCATTCTATCGCTGTACTACGGAGAAACCTGCTCGGTCTTCTTTGTTGCAGTGAGTTCCAGAGGGAAGTTTACCGCTTTGGTGAAATACAGAATTTCCAAGCCTGACACTACCACTCGCATGCATGTTATTTTCATCTTCAACCACACTATTATCTTCAGTCACTCTTGGCCCTTGTTTCGTTGCGAAAGTAGCACCAGCAGCAGCACCATCTGTAAAAGCAAAGGTGATGTGAGCAACGAAAGGATCAGAACTTGGTCAGGGCGATCTGAATGAGTTGTTTACCACTGCATTACGTCGGCTAGAGTTTCCAAGCAAAAAAGCAAACTCACTCCGAACAGGCTAAAAAGTAAGGTATGAGAAAAAATACTCTCAGCCTCCTGCTTCATAGGCTCCACGTTCATACATTGGCAAGTCTTCCTCTTTCAGATTTCGATACGAATCGTACTCAACGGGGGCTTTCATGACACAGAAAGAGGGGCCCGTAACTCGTTGGGATATCATTTAGCAGATGATGAATTTGATTAGCGTTCAAAGGCGAATGCGATGGTACTCTGCTTATCTGGATCGGCCGGACCAAGTTCTGACCATTCCTTTGCAAGAAAGAAAGATGTGCGTACTTGTGTGAGCAAGCACACGTGCTTGAGATGGTTCTGGCTGGACCGATAAATCATCTGAGCATAGCAGTTTTTGTGGCAGCAAAGCTCGAAGGTGACTCACCTCTTGCAGTTGGCTCCACCCGTACGTCCGGCAAACTTCCTCTCACATTGCCAGATTTTGTTGCTAGGATGATTAGTAGTTGGATCGCATTAATAAGAACGATAAAAAATGCTCACATCCAAGGGGCTCATCTGCATCAAAATTCGCAAAATACTCTTCCTCTTCCGAATTTGAGACATCATACTGCAAGGTAATCATGGAGTTGCGTGACATGATTGGATGACCAACCTGGATTGGTGTTTCGTAAGCCAAGTAGTGGTAACCGCTTTCGTAAATTTTGCAGATACTTCTTCCATGATAGTAGCTTGAAACACCAAAGTCTGCTCTGCTCATAATGACCTCGAACGATTTTCTGTATTCAAGTTGAAGTCGCCTTTGTATCACCTAAGATGAATAGATATTAAAAAAAAATCCTTTTGGAAATCTTCTTCGAAAACTGCTAGTTCAAGTCAGGCTTTGAAATCTAAGTCTTTTGATATAACCTAACTTAGCATTATCTCCCAGCTGATTAGTGTCTTCCGAACGCAACGCTGCTTCTTTCATCAGAGTACTCAAACGAGTATCACAACACTCTTCACCGGAAAACGTGTACGGAATATTCAGATTTTTTGAGAGATCATTTCGCCACGAGCATGAGTATTCCATTATTGGATTGGTCTCAACATCAGAAGGTACAGAAGCACCGTTGGAGCTGCTAACGGAAGCGGTGTTAGCGACATTTGCAGCAGGCTCCGCAGTTTCGATGGGTAGGACTGCAACAGTAGTGTCTTTAATCTTGCAAGTTCGGCTTTCCATAAATCTTGGCATCCTGAGCAATTATGGCAGCTGCTGAGTCTTTATAGCCAAAATTGTTATAGTTCCTTAATAGGTTTACGTCTCGGCTATTCGTCTTCGTCAGAGCCTAAAAAGTGATTAGCAAATGTAAAGTGTCCGCCAGATGTCCTATCACACACAGAGTGTAAAGCTGCATTTGCCCGGGTAGACAGCATACCTCGCCGAGTAAGGGACTGCCACCATCAGTCGTGGGCTTTGAGTGACTAATGACTTACCGTAAGTTATGAATGATGATTTTGTATCAAAATCCGCTTAACTCCTTAAATGGTGCGAGTTCAATTATAGCAGCACATTTTTCTTTTCTATTCATTTCTGGATTCCTTATGGAAATCCATCCGGCTTCTAATAATTTACAAGCTGCGTGTTTCTGTTTCTCGTTCCAAAAGCGACACCCAAATATCGAACTTTGTTTTTTCATAGTGCAGTTGTAATGTGTGCCTAACGGAGTGGGCATTCTTATTCTGTGTATGCCATCCATGTGTTCCATGATTTTAAGACGCAGTGGCCTACCCGTCTCTCCGATGTATTCATCGCCACACGCTTTACACGTTAAAAGGTAAATCACGTCCGAGCACATGCAGTCGAATGCTTAGTCGTGGCGCACTCAAGCAAACCGTTACTGTACAAGCCTTATCATTTGCTCTGTTTCGTGCCAGGCGTCGCTCAAGGTTGGAAGGGGAACGCGATGCACTCTTCTGGGTTTATATCCGTTAGCTTCAACGACTTGGAGTCCTTTTTTATCAACTAGCCTTCAGCGTGTCATCAAATGACACCATTTTGGCAGTTCGGAGCATGTTTCCAACCACCTGATTTTAGTACGGGTAGGATGCACAGAAGAGTAACGTACAAAGACATTTTATTACTGGACTTCCTGTACCAGCCAATCCTGTGCTCTCCTCTGTTCAAATTCATCTGTTTGAAGAATGGAAACCACTTTCTTTTCTTCCCTTTTCCCACCCTGAAAGATTTTGGCCCGTAGTCAACCCCCCTCAGTGCAACTCGACTGTTGCGGGCCTACATTAAATCTAGAGCGCCTCAGTCCAGCATCCAATGAGCTATTGATCTTGGCGGTATTTATCAACCTCCCACTCGCTGTGCGGGCAATTCTTAGCGAGAGCCCGCACAGGCGAGAGCGCCCTTTCTCGCGATTGAAAGTCTGGGAAGCGCAGCCCAAACGGGCAGCGCCGCCCGACTCGTCAAGATGGAAAACTGCTGCCCGTCTGCCGTGCCCGACATGGCCAAACTTGTCAGATCGGACCACATTCTTCATTAGACAGGAGCCCGATCACCAGCTTGGCTTCATATATCGCGGGCGCCAGTGCCCGCGCCTGTACGGGCTGTTACCTGTAGGGGAACCCCTTCCTGTACAGGAGATTGATAAATACCGCCCCTGGATGCGGATCGCTTTCTAATCATGGTAATCATGTATGTTCTTGAAAAACGAACCACTTGAGCCGGTTTGGTCGAAAAGTAAGCGACTAGGGCTCCGGGTCAGGAGTCACACCGCGCGCGGCGGCCTCTCGCCGCACCCAAATTTTGTGCCTCACAAAAACTCTCCGGTGCCAAAGTGGCCGGCGCCACAGTAAGGGGGGGGGGGGCGGCAGATACATGACTTGATGCCATAAGTAAGATTGTAGCAGGAGTACTGACGGGAGCTGAGGCCTGTGCTGCTTGACGTCGCATTGCGGCGTCGTTTCGCGAAAAATCTTGAGTCCTGACCCGTACCCAGCGACTAGATTTGAACGCGGGCGTCCATGGTTCAACAACGGCTAGCGCCACACTTTTGCTGTATCGCCTGGCGTCTTTGATAGCGATCACTATCGCAGAATCGGTGATGACCGCTATCAAAGATTTTGCCTAGCACATGCATGGATCAAACAAAACTTATTTTTGACGGAAATTTTATGAAAAAATGAAATGGTTGCAACATGAACTCAATGAATCAAATCATTAAATTCTTATCTTGAGCACCGTTTCGAAAAAAAAGTCGGCAAACTTTAAAAAAAAGAAAAAAGTTGTTTTCTTCCTTCCCACGCCAAAATCAGCTGTTCATCGATCGGACCCCGGTATTGTGCCGTTTTGCGCCGATTTTGTCCGCGATGTTGTGCCAGGAGCAACTTATGTGAATGCTTCTGATCAGACACTCGCTGTTGACTCGCGCCGGAGATCCACCCCTTTTTGAGGGATTCGCGGGAAAGGGCGTAGACATGCGCGAGACAATATTTTGACAGTTTTTGCGGATGGTCGCGAAAGGAAATCGGGAGATGATGAGTGACTCAGCGAGCAGTTTCGCAATATCGACGCGCATTTCAAATCTCAGCTCATATTGCATCATTCCAGGTTTCTTTGCTACCTATTTTCAATTCGTGCATTACATCCATCCCACCTAAGCCCTCTTCTTTCCATTATTTCATTCCAATCCAAAATTAACTTTATTTGAAATCCAATTTTGAAGCTTCTTCTCTAGAAATCGAAGCTCGACTATCTCCGTGATTGTGGGATTGTGGAATTTGAGTTCAAATTACATTGGTTTAGGAACCAGCTGAGGCATTCAAGGTATTTCAAGGCATGATGATGGAGATGGAGACGTAGATGGGAGATGTACGGGCTTATGCACTGAATCCGGTGAGAGCTAAACTCCTTCCTCCAAAGGTAAGATGTCAGTGCACTTATTTCCAGTCTTCGTCGACATGACTTTCTTTTCAGAAGAAGCGTGTGATTGAGACTATGGCAAGCAGCTTTTCTGCTGTCAAGGAGATAGAAAAGACCAGCCCCGACGAGTTTTGGCCGATCTGCTACTACTTTTTTCTAATTTGCTGCACTTACATATCACTACCATACCATTTGCCTTAACTCCACTCCCGCTTTTGCGTATCACTTAATTGCATTCCGAGATTCTCATTGTTTAGAAGATTACCAAGTACACTTCTATCTCATCATGTATCTCCATATCGTGAAGCTTTAAGATAGTAAACATAGTAGTTTGACTCCCCCGAAGTTCTTATTTGATTTTCTTGCGTGGCTACATTGAACATAACTCTAACTCTAACTCATAACTCTAACATAACTACTTCAATCTTAGGAACATTGAAATGTTCCTAAGATTGAAGTAAATTCACTATGTGCTAATGAAGTTTCCAATCAATCCTTATGTCATTTTAGAAGTAATAAATTGGTTAGTTTAGACTTTGTAGAATTCATGTATATATATATATATATATACGTGTACATATATACATATATATATGTCACTTATATATACATATATATACAATATGTACATTTATATATATGTATATATATAATGTATATTTATACATACACATGTAAGTATATACATATATGTAATGTACAGCAAGTAAGGATATAGCGAAATTACTAGCGCGAGATAACGCGCTCCAGTTGCGTCCGGACATCAGGATGTGTCGCCCTCGAGCTGCCGCGTATTTCCTGCAAGATGCGGGTCGCGTCAAAGCGTGGTCTCGGGTAGCATTGTTCCGACAAATAGTGCTGTCTCGGGATTTCGTCGCGAGGCCGATAACTTGTGTCGCGCCTTCATTCAGTGCTTACACAAAACTTTGGGCTGCGCGAGTCAACAGCGAGTGTCTGAGAAGTCTCTCTTTTCCACACTACTTGCACTCGTCTACCACCAGTTCACGTTCAGTTCAACTGAAGGTGAAGTGACGTGCAACAGTTGACTGCAGCAGGTGGACGGATGGCCAGTTCACTTGCCATGCTTATAGCATGGGAAGGTGGGCGCCGTCATTTCACCTGACGTAAGCTCAACTGATGGGTTAAGTTCAGTTCATCTGAACTGATCGAGCTTTAGTACGGGCCCATATGTTAGCTAATTGCTCATTAAGTAAATCGATACCGACATCCACCTCTGTCTGTGTCGAATAAAGAACAAAAATGTCATCGATGTAGCGACAACAGAGAGTGGACTTGCGGGATAAATGCAATTTTTTACTTCTGATATAAAGCTTGTAGTTAACGCGGGTGCCAAGCAGCTCCCGCTCAGCTTGGGATAGCTTTCTCGTATACTCAACCCGTAAGCCCAGCATTTGTACGAAAAATTAGAGAAAATCTACAATATGCTCAAGATCGTTTACGCTACAGAGCCAAAGTGGAGCAGCAAACCAACCAAAGATCAGCAACGACTTTGCCGGTGCCATTCCCCGTCCACGTTTTCCAACCACAAAAGCCGGTACCTTCAGCAGATTCCGCTCTTTTTCACCTTAGTTTTTAGTGTGCTTTAAAAACATGTTTAAGCGTCAAACATCCACTCACAGCAGCGCATCGGTCCAAAAGAAACTCGGGATCTTGCAGTCACACTTGCTGTAAAGGTAAGTATTAGTGATAAAGGAGGTGAGTTGGCCTTTGTACATAGAGAGCTGGAGACTGCAATGACCGCGGAACACTTGCAAGATGAAAGCATATATTGCAAAAATTCAAAAAAAAAGAATTCACTAAACAGTATCGGAAATAAAACTTTGGGCAGAACAACGAGAAGTGCGGATGTAGCTAAGAACGTTATATCACCACTTAAATCTGATACCACTGTCCTGTTTTCTACGTTCTTATAAAGACACCTATAATACTTGCCGACTTGCTAACTTCGGAAGAATCAACGGACTTTAAGGTTTGACCTATCGTAAGCAATATCGGAGGCCCTACATACGGGATTGCATGGCTGCTCAATCTTATTCTTACACAAGTGTTGCAATATATCCTGCCCATTTGAGTAGTACTAATGCCTTGCCAATGCTTGCAGAATACGCATTTCAACGATAGCGAGGTCATTTGACGCAACAGCATTCTACACAGATGCGTCAAAATCAGCTGCACTACAAGCGTTTCGAGTTATTAAGCGATAACATCAAAAATATATGCTTGGTCATGGCATTATTTCAGAATAATTGGGGGCCTTGCAATGGGGCAACGTTTGGCACCCGCGCTGGCTACAAGCTTTATGTCAAAAGTAAAAAATTTTATTTTTTTTCCGCAAGCTCACTTGTCGCTATATCGACGATCTTTTCATCGTTTTTCCCGACACAGGCAGAATTGGATGTCTGTTTCGATTTACCTAACGTAAGGTTTATTAGTGAACCAGAGGGCGATTGGCTTCCTTTCAACGTTCATATAAATTTGAAGAGAGGAGAACACAGGACCATCCGGTACGGGAAGCCCAGTGACAAAAATATCCTTGTACACTACTCTTCTGTACATATTATCCCTACTAAAATCAGTGTGGTCGAAAACATGCTCCGAACAGCCAAAATGGTGTCATCTGATGACACGCTAGCACTTCAAATTGTTGAATCTAACGGATATTTACCAAGAAGAGTGCATCGCATCTTCAGATCACATAAAAACCTTAGCGAAAAAGTGTCATTTTTTTCTCTTCTGGTTCAAATACATTGAGCAGCGCCATTGAAAAATGCGTGCGAAGAGCAGGGCTGCAAGATTCGTTGCGGCTTGTTGAAATAGCTCCTCCCAAACTTGCAGAACTTAGCGCGAAACAGAACAAATGATAAGGCTTGTACAGTAACGAATTGCTTGAATAAGCAAGGCGACTGCATGTGCTCGGGCATGAATTGCCATTTCACACGCGTAGGCCACTGCGACTTAAAATCAAGGAACACATGGACGGGATACCCAGAATAAAAATGTCCACTCCATTATGCACCCATCGCAACTGCACTACGCAGAAATAGAGTTCGATATTTGAGTGTCGCTTCTGGCATGAGAAGCAGAAACAGCAGCTCGTAAAACATTACAAGCCGGATAGATTCCCATCAGAAATTAAACATCATGGACGAGATACCCAGAACAAGAATGTCCACTCCGTTATGCACACATCGCAACTGCACTACGCAGAAACAGAGTTCGATATTTGAGTGCCGCGTCTGGCACGAGAAACAGAAACAGCAGCTCGTAAAACATTAGAAGCCGGATGGATTCTCATCAGGAATTAAACATCATGGACGAGATACCCAGAACAAGAATGTCCACTCCGTTATGCACACATCGCAACTGCACTACGCAGAAACAGAGTTCGATATTTGAGTGCCGCGTCTGGCACGAGAAACAGAAACAGCAGCTCGTAAAACATTAGAAGCCAGATGGATTCTCATCAGGAATTCAGAAGTGAATGAAAAAGAAAAATGTGTTGCTATAAATGAAGTCGCACCCTATATGGAGTTATGCGAATTTTAAATCATCATTCATAGCCTACGGTAAGTCATTAATCACTTGACACCTACGAGTGATGGTGGCAGTTCCTTACCCGGCGAGGAATGCTGTCTACCCGTGAACTCCGTGTGTAATAGGACATCTGGAGGGCACCTTACCTTTGCTCCCCACTTTTTAGGCTCTGACGAAGACCAAAAGCCGAGACGTAAGCCTAATAAAGAATTCTAACAATTTTGGCTGTATAGGGTTCAGCAACAACATATAGTAGTGCCTCTTATGAAAGCTTGCATTACCCGATTAACAGAAACTAGTTACATATGTTACACTCAGAAATTCTTAGCAACCCAGGAACGATAAGTACGGATGAAGATACGAAAAATACGAGCCTCGACTTCATGCGCTTAGAAAGCCATCATTCTTTTTGATGGTAAGGAGTTCTTCGTATTCGAAAGTAAATGAGAAGTTCGACACACTCCAATACTACCTTGCACAAAATGGGAGGAAACAAACAAAATCGGAGGTTTTGCAGTGTTCCTTCGTATTTTCGTCCAAGACAAACTTACAAGGGGAAGACTCGAAGTCGAAATCGCCTTTCCACAAGACGTGCCAATTTAAAGAGCATCAAACACTGATTTCAAAGCTGTTTTTGTTACTTGCCTAGCGCCTCTAAAGTTATGAGTGTTTTTCAGCTCAAAAAAGTGAATGCGCAACTGGAACAAACTCGTGTAAGATTGCGCAAATGACCCAGTGTTGGATACCAAAGCACTCTATGCATTGAAAAGACTTTTGTCTAATATATCGTACTCAACACTCCTTTATTTGAGCGCTGGAAAGACCACAACCACTGATTTTACCTTGGTTTTGCTATCATTCTTAGCTCCAGAAAACACCCATAACTCGTCTAGAGGCTTTTGGCAGAAAAACAGTTTTGGAAATCAACGTGCAATGCTCATCAGGTTGGTATCTGTTTTATTTGGAGAGCCGCTTTTGTCTTTAGGTCCTCTCCTAATTAGTGGTACACCTGAGTTATTGCTCCACTTTAGTAGTCATGAGCGCAGGCCTTACTTTTGCGTCAATAGCAATGCGGTTTTAACGAATTCTCCACTAACAAGATAGGACTCTAATAAACTGTACTTCGAGATCAAATTGGTTGTATGTGTGTATGTTGTTTTTTGTTTGCTGCACCAATAAGTGTCCAAAAATCGAACAATCTTCTAAAATTGGCTAAGGGCAGCGGAATTTTTGTAGTAAAGCAATGCGTGCTGTGTTCCTCAAAATATTCGGGTATTCTCACCTTTAGCAAGCTTATAATCGTATAACTTTAAAATGAGTGCTCTGAGTTTTGAATGTGGACTTACGTGTAGAATCTGTTTTTTTTTTCGTAAAGATTCAAAATACTTTGTCTGTTGTTTTTGCAAGATTATGAGGAGAAGGAGTACATTTGACATTCAAGATTATGAAGAGAAGGAGTACATTTGACATTATGTTTTTAGGATAGAAATCTTCAACTGTGCGAAGGGTTGAAAGTACCCCTCTATAGTTGCATCATATCTCAATTCCACTAGACGTTTCGACAGAAGCCTACTACTCTACTACTGAGGTCTTAACATAATAACAACTCCTTATTATGCACGACTGCGAGTTTCGATGTTTAGGTTAAAAAATTGTAAATTCTCATCTACTCAAATTAGTCTCTTTTGGGACATAGCTGGATCGTAAGATACGATTAAATAATGTGCACATGCACATGTAAGCTGTGTGCACATGTAAGCTTGGGAAAATACTAACAACGGATGCTTTTTTCAAATGGTGGATCCAAATAAGATTACCTTCACTTTCGGCAGCAAGTGGTGCTTGCTTCCATCCAAGAGGATCCCTGCTGCTAAAACTAGCTAGAAAATTTTCACTGTGAGTGTCGCTCAAGTCATACTAAAAATAAACAATTTAACGCATGAACCTGAACATGGCCAGCATAACTTTATAGTATGTAGCGAAGGACAAGCTGTGTTATAGCGTGGCTTTATGCAAAATGAAACTAATGCTACCTGAACTGGCGTTTCGTAAAGTACGACAAAATATCGATCCGTTTCAAATTTGCACTGTCGGGCACCGGAATAATAGGTATTGAGAACGAAGTCAGAGTCCGAGATGATAGCTTCGAAAGATCTGTTAAAGCGTAGCTGCATGCGTTGTTGGATACTCTGAAATACACAGAATATTAGGTTGGCCCAAAAGTTCTGTCTCATCAAAAAATCGTATCCTTCCTCTAACATGGATGTTAGGCATTTAGCTTGATGAATCGAAAACTTAAGTCTGTACTTTTCCGTTCCGGACCCATTTTTTCGCAAGGCTCTTATAAAATACGTTCTGTAATCAAAGAGCAGTTTTTCATAGATTCTACGAGGACTGTCTCTCCGCCACGTGTCAGGAAAAAATTGACACGTTTTAGTCCGTTTTGACAAGTTTTTCGAAATCATTTCTGAGGTAAAAGGGCATTTGTGATCACTTAAAAGCTGCTTTACTGTTTTTCATAAGAGCAAAACAATCTAGAACTTATATTAGAACACCTTGATTGCTTTCAACAATGATTCGAAAATGTCTTTCTCTTTAAACGCTTTCCGTCATACGAACTGTATTAGGCTAACGTGCGTTGACGTCGCCTGAGGCGTAGTTGTCGCCTTTGTGGATGTATCTGCAGGTGTGGACAATACACTAGCCTGGCAGATTTAATGAGTCAGACGACGTGCCCGCACTGCAGCAGTGGTAGAATGCTAATATAAATAGGCGTGGCACAGTTACTCGACAATGTCTGATAAAGATGCATATATCACAGCAGGTCATGCTTATGCATGACCTTTACGGTACTCTGGCAACAGAATGATAGACTGCAAAGAGAGGTGCCGATTAGAACGACACACTCCGGCCAGTCAAAGGAACGAAGAAAGGAAAGTGAGCAACATATCGACATAAAGGTATAATCTGTTAACTGTTGGCGGCGCCATTTATCCGGGTACCGTAGTGGACGTTGTTTCAGCGCTAGACAGTTGAAGTTGGAAATCTGATAGTCGTAGACGATGAAACAGATCTGTCGTGTAGAAGTTGATCGAGCAAAAACTGGATGCTGATTTGTTTATACACTCATTTCTTTATTTGAAGATGAAATAGAATAGTGACCCAGCATCATTTGAGTTTCCTTGGTGCAGCTGAAGTTTAGATTGCGTGGACGTTGCTCGTTGTCAATATCTTCCATTGCGTTGACCTGAGGCACAAATGATCTAGTGTCAAGGTCACCCCACATGAATGTGGTGGCTGTAGGCTTGATTGTAGCCTTAGGCGATGGGTGGCGCTGGCGCCTGTAGTGGAGTATGGTGGCTCCTGGTGTGTTATCAGAACACGTAAGCTATTAGAGCTTTATTGAACAGACGACATGCACCTATTCGTGCAGTGGTAGAATGCTGGAGACTGAAGGCGTGGTAAGGTAGTATCACAAAACATCTGGGCAATAATACACTCATGTCACAGCAGGTCATGCTTATGTCATGACCTTTACGGTGCTTAGCAGAAGTATTGATAAGTTGCAAGGAAAGTGCCGACAAAGTCGGCACAAATTGAGCCAGGAAAGTCCATAAATGATGATTTGAAGTACCTCGCTGCCGCCTGTTTCGCCGCTTAGATGATGTAACCCTAGCGCACTTTTCTATTCTGGGCAGGTAAAATCTGTTCATTGATAACAGCATGACGTTATTATTATAACCATGTTTATTTGCTGCTGTTTATTTGCTGTTTATTTGTGCTTAGCAGAAGTAATGATAAGTTGCAAGGAAAGTGCCGACAAAGTCGGCACACTCCAGCCAACGAGGGGAATGGAGAAAGCCAAAATGTGCATATCACGAACACGAAATAACACCTGGATGTAAAGAAATACTCATATTTGTCGGGATATCGTAGTGGACGTTCCTGAGCAGTTAGGCAGATTGGGTCGTAGCCCAGGTTGAGGTAGTCATGACAGCTGGCGTGAGACGGTGAGGAAGTAGACAGTGGTAAGGCAGAATGTGATAGATGGCGTTTCAGTAACTTCGCTTCCACCAGCGATGGAGATAGAAAGTAAAGAGAATATAATCGTAGGTTTTTTATTCTTCTTGCGTCATCGCGCATTTCCATACAGGTTCCTGCCAATCTCATCGTTGTGTCTTTGCAAATGACGGCCCACAGGCATAATGACCTGCGAGGTCAGCTTGTCATCTGTTGCTGGTATGCTGGAAATGCCATCCATGGCATCTCCCCGGGCCACGATTGTGAGGTCTTCAGAATGTTGACTGAGATGTTCTTCGTTTTCATTGTCTTCTCCCAATGTTGCGGAATCCATCATGGTCTAGAGCATCCGTTTCCCTTTCCGCATCGCGTAAATAATTTAAGAGACTGGATTGCTGTTCTTCAACTACTTGACTTGCTGTTCTTCAGCTACTTGACTTGATGCAAAATTCTTATGTGTTTTTGCATATACTATCTGGATATTCTACAGCGATAGCAAAAATACTAGCATCAGAAAGCAACTGGTAAAAATCAAGCTCCTTTTTAAGCTCTTCTAGCTGGATTATGACAGTTTTTCTCTCGCTTTTAGACTGCTTGAGATGGAATTCTCCCAGTTAGTCGACTATTGAATCCAAAACTGCCGTTCTTGCTCTAACTTCTGATAGGCTAGAAAGGAGAATACCTAGGATTTCCTTTGAAGCTCTCGATCAATTTCTAGAATTTGAGCTTGAAGTTGCAGGAGTCAAATTTTTTGAGCAGATTTGCTAATACTCTTGAGTGAAGTGAGATTGCCTCTTTAAAAATTTTATAGACATTTTGATGTTTAATTGTTAGCGGCTGCTTTTTGAGCCAATTTTGAGCAAAAATTGGGAAGATTTTGTCCCTGCGGAGGAGAATGGCTGTCACTAGGTGATAGGCAGCGGATTTTGGGCGCTAGGTCCCAAGTTTAAAATAGCTAATCTCTGTGTAGCTGAGGCGAGTAATGATCGGCCTTGCGTATTTGGCCGATGCACCATAAATGTGGTAGCTGTAGGCTTGATTGTAGCCTTAGGCGGATGGGTGACCTGTAGTGGAGTATGGTGGCTCCTGGTGTGTTATTAGAACACGTAAGCTATTGGAGCTTTATTGAACAGACGACATGCACCCATTCGTGCAGTGGTAGAATGCTGAGGATTGAAGGCGTGGTAAGGTAGTATCACAAAACATCTGGGCAATAATACACTCATATCACAGCTGGTCATGCTTATGGCATGACCTTTACGGTGCTTAGCAGAAGTATTGATAAGTTGCAAGGAAAGTGCCGACAAAGTCGGCACAAATTGAGCCAGGAAAGTCCATAAATGATGATTTGAAGTACCTCGCTGCCGCCTGTTTCGCCGCTTAGATGATGTAACCCTAGCGCACTTTTCTATTCTGAACAGGTAAAATCTGTTCATTGATAACAGCATGACGTTATTATTATAACCATGTTTATTTTTGAAATTGTACAATAGGAAATGGGGTAATTATTGACTAAAAACAGATATGAACTTACGCCGCTAAATAGGGCAAAACTCTTGGTAAAACCTGTTAAACATGTAGACATGTCAAGTTTTTTTGACACGTGGCAGAAGGTTGACACTCCTTCTTGTGAAGATGGGATCAAATATGGTACAAGGAAATCATTATCCTTCTTTAAAAAAATGGTTCGGATAAAGGAACAGTACCGTTAACTCTTCGATAGCAAAAAAGCAAAAAGCATTGATAGCAAAAAAAAATCATCAAGGCTTCCCAAGAAAAAAGTTGTCAGATATAGAAGCGAAAGCAGAAGTATGATTTTCTTGTATTAAGCTCATTGATCGGAAACGTTGTAACATTCGGAAAGTCGGTTTTAAAAGTTTTATACAAGCTAGTGCTCGCAAATGCGCGAAGTTTGCGCTGATTGGTCTGCTTCGAGAGATCCGACCTTCAGCTTTAAACTGGAATAATCAAGATCAATTACCTTGTAAATTCTTCGAAAATTTCAACTCTTCAGAGTGACTCCCAGACAAATGAAGCAATAGACTCGGTTGACTCAAAAGTTCTGTGGCACCATTCCGCAAGATGCTACAAACCTCCAAAACGTTACAAACTCACATAGCTAACCGCGCCGATTCCATCAGTTGTACGCAGCTGCCTATCTATGAGTAGTGGAAAGGTAGGATCACAGCAGAAACTGTCAGAAACTGTATGGGACTGCTCTTCAGGAGATGGTATGCACTGAGCAGGAACAGCTGCAAGAGGACTACAGTGAATATTAATGAAAGGACAAGGGAAGGATACCAGGTCGAAGTGGCGTTTCCATATGATGTGTGTACCATCTTATAGAGAGCATGGAGCGCTGATTACAAAAATGCCTTCGCTATCTGCAAAGCGCTTCTGACAGAAGAGTTATGTGAATTTCTTGAAGTAAAAATTCAAAAAGAGCTAAAAAACCAGGTTTTAAGGTCTTTCCTAATCTTGAAAGGGGTAATGGCTACGATGAGATTAAACGTATTAACTGCATAAAGTGCCCTAGCAGTAATCACGCCCCATTTGAGCTCACAAACTACAGTTCTGAATAATTTCATGTAGCCGTGCGTTCCAATTTGCTTCAAAAACTTTTCATAGCTCCCCTCTCAGAAGCGTGTGCAGATACCAGAAGCAGGTATGGAATCAGCTTTACATGCTCTATAAGACTGTATACATATCATATGGAAACGCCACTTCAACCAAGTATCCTCCCTTGTGAGAACTACGCACCCCTTCTAACTCGTCGAGATGAGAGAAGATTTGCTCTGTTCATGAAGCTGTGACATGAACTGCCATTGCAGATGTGGTTCGAATTGCAGTGGATTATTTGGTCGAGGACGATCAGACTCAGACAATATCGAATTAACCGAGTCAGCATTCCTAACGGCTACGAAATCTGCAAAGCTCGGTAAGCTAATCTAGGCTAGGAGGTCTTTTCATAAGATTGTTAAGTATATGTATTCAAACTCGGTCAATTTCTAACGCCACTCGAACATCACCTTGATGGTGATCAATTTTACTAAAGAGTTCTGTTTGAACTATGGAAGCAAGGATTTTGACAGATTCACATCCATAAAGCGATGAAAAAAGTCATACAAAATGTCCGAGCAAGCAATTTGTTCCAGTTTTCCACATTCACTCTTGTAATCGCGTCTGCTTTTGATACATTGAATTAGAACGGTGAGGATAGAATCATTATGATGATTAGAGAAACGAAAACGACGAAAAAGTTACATGGAAACAGCAACGGATTAAAGGAAAAAGTGCAATTTAGGCTAAAAGATAATACACCTAATGATGTGAAGTGTAAGCGAAGCGAATTGTGCATCTTTGCTCAGATAGCATACATTCCAGAACGCTAATAAGACATTTTCATTCAGAGTTAAATCTTATATATAAAGCCGGATGTGTGTTTGTCTGTATGTCTGTATGTCTGTCTGTACGTATGTGCGGAATAGAAAGTTTTATCTCTGAACCGATTCGGACCAAACTTGGCACACATACACTTCGGGGCGGGGAGCGTGTTATAGGCTACTTTTCGTCATCGATCGATATCGATTTTTTGTATAATTTGAGCTACGGGGCTGGGAGTCGGCACAGGGGTAATCCAGCATGCTGATTCCGAATACTATAATATTAGTTTTCAGGATTATCGATTACTTTTATCGATTTTATCGATTTTTTCAAAATTTGAGCTGAAGAGCTGGGAGTTGGCACAGGGGGGGGGGGGGGGTAAGTGAGCATGGCGATTCCGAATACAATATTAGTTTTTGGTATTACCTATTAATTTTATCGATTTTATCGACTTTTTTCAAAATTTGAGCTAAAGGGCTGGGAGTTCGCACAAGGGGTAACTGGGCATGCTGATCTCGAAAACAACACAGGGAACGGGATAGGGAATGGCTGTACAGGGATAGGGATGGGACCTTTATTACAGTGTTTTGATAGAGCCGAGCGGAGCCGGGTAAGCACGCTAGTTATCAATAAAAAAAATAGAAAGCACGAGAAATTGCCGCGAAAGGCAGCCTATGCTATCCTCAAATGTTCAATACAGATGTGTCCATGGTCTGAGTTCGAATCTCGTATGATTCTAGTGCGCAAAATATTTGCTGTGCAAAAACTGCGAAACAATAGATCGGTAGGGTCAATCAGTATGTTCTGAAAAGAATGGCTTGATAGCACACACCCCCATACATTATGTGTGCCAAACTTGGTCCAGATTCCATGACTCCTTCTATCTTTTTCAATCGAACATAAAAAATCTCTAAGCAATAACTGCGAAAACTCAATAAATCAATGGGGGCAACCCGTGTGGCCCGAACAAAAAGGCTTATTAACACATGCTCCATCGCATACATTATGTCTGCCAAACTTGGTTCAGACTCCACGACTCCTCTATCTTTTTTGATGAACATACCAAAAGTGGCTTAGTAATATTATATAGTATAAGTATTGATGTCTGTATGTCTGTACGTATGTTCCGAGAAAATTCCTTTTGTGGACGATTCGGACAAAACTCTGCACACATACACTTCGGGGCAGGCGGGTGTCATACCCATGTTTCATCATCAATCGATTTTTTTTGCGTAGTTTCACCCATGGGACTTAAGTTGCCACAGGGGGTAGGGTAAGCGCCCGACTAACCGATTGCCTGCTCCAGCAAAACGCTAATACTAATAAGCTGATGTCATATGACTTCATGTTGGACGGAAATCAAAGTGGCGTCTGCGATGTCCGCAACAATAATAGTTTGAAAAGATGATAAAAAGCCTTGCAAGATGAGAGAATGGAACGGCCTTATCATTGAAAGATTTTTGATGTAACGAAATTGCACACACCGACTAGATTCCCTACAACGTGACTTTAAATTACAATAACTGCGCCGCGCCCTGCTGAAGCGATTAGTCTGGCGCCTACCCAAGTGAGCATGCCGATTACGGACACAATACTAGTTTTTAGAAATATCTATTACTTTTATCTCTTTAAACGATTTTTGCAAAGTTTGACCCTCGGGGCTGGAAGTTGGTCAGTGGATAAGCGAGCATGCTGATTACGAACACAGTAATGTTTTTTGGAATTATCCGTTACTTCTATCGATTTCACCGATTTTTTTGCAAAGTTGCACCCACGTGGTTGGGAGTTGGTACAGGTGAAGTAAGCTTGCTAATTACGAGTGCATCATTCGTTTTTTGGATCGTCGGTTGCTTTCATTGTTTCCTCTGCAGACTTTGAGCTACGGGGCTGGAAGTTGGCACAGAGGGTAAGAGGGCATGCCGATTATGAAAACATAATAGGGGGGGGGGGTAGGGGTAGGGAAATGTGCAAAAAATCGGATGGCAATCATCATAGTCTAATGAAAGGGCCGGAGAGCTGGGTGTGCCACATAATCAAGCAATAAAATCGCAGGAGACTTCGAATGATCGGATGATTGAATTGGGAAAGTAAAAGTCAGATTATAGCGAAGTTGAAAATGTGTTCCAACATATTAAACAAAATTCCATATACAGGGTGGTCGAAAGTATAGACGTTACAACATGTAATATATCGTTTTCCTGAAATATTCCATCATGGCCGCTAATATGCCTGTAGTTTAAGGACAGTCTCTATATTAAGATAAATGAAAATCACGCGAAGTGAAGTCTTCTAAGGCAAGTGGGACTCCAGAGTCTACTTTCTCTTGAAGGGCACTGCGGCGCGTTCAGCTAACACCATATTTACAGTGCCGTATTTTATTTTTAAGAGGTGGATTTTTTGCTGTTAAGGTACTATGTCCTCCCTCGGACCGTGCTTTACAAAACCTCGGGTTTTGGAATCTGTTCATTTAGTAATCGGATTATTTCACGGGATTCGCAATGGGTACATTCTTCAAGGAGCATTTTTGACGCATCAACTTCAAGATAAGCTGCCGAAGTCTGTATGCATGTGCAGAAACCCAGTCTTGCAGGAGTAACACACTAAGATGCCTGTGTTCTTGGCATGCAAATTTGAACTTACAAAATTTTCTTTGCGATGAAAAGTCATTAAACGAAACATGTGACGCCCATAATTTCGGCCACCCTGTATTGTATCCGATAGAGTACTCCACCTTATTCGAATAATTGTATAATCAATTGATTCCATCCAAATTAGAGGGCGAATTATTGACTATTTGGTAGTGCCTGATATTCTAATTAGTGAAAGTAGCGTAGCGAAATAATCAAACATATTTAGAAAGTTGTACAACCAAATAGCGAATGTGAGCTAAAATGAAAGTACTTGAATACCGCATATACTCGTTTTAGACAAATTGTCGGATGATTCGGTTTTTTTTGTGTCAAAGTATGGTCTCCATCACTTAAGAGAATCCAATTTCTCGCTTACTCAGCTTTTGATGACGGAAAACCAGACCTGAATGCCCGGTAATCGTAAATTCGAAAATCAAAAATTTCTCAAAAATTTCGATTCTTTGCAATTCAAACAAGTAATCGAATGGAAGTTCTTTGCAGTTCATATATTAGGTCTCTGCATTGCTGGAAATTAAAACCCTTCGTGTACACAGTGTCCGATTTTCGCTAATTTTCAAGATTTTTGTATGAATTTTGGGAAAGCTCTAATAACCAACAGATGGTGACCTTTTGCCAACTATGGCATTCTTTATAGCTCTGTGGTTTGTATGCTTAAATCCATAAAATATATTTTTGAAGTAACCAGATCTTATATTCCGCCTACCGTTATGACAGTAAAATGTGAAAATTTTCGGCGTTTTTCACCAACTTTGCTGATTTCTCCAAGAATTTTCACATTCCGCTGTCATAACCGATTCTAACCTTGTAGAACATGAAATGGTAGACAGCTCAGGTACCATCTGATGCAGGTTTTTCTCCTCTTTCAAGCGGTTGTCTTTTCTTGGCAAGACATGCGAAATGCGGGGAAAATCGCAGTACGTCTTGCGCACTTGTACCCTAGAGTTCAAAATCTTCATATTTTGAAGCGAAAACTGCCCAATTACTTTGTAAAAGTTGGTAGCAGTGATAATCGCGTTTTGAAAAACTCATTAATCTAAAGATTTTGCAGCGTTTGGTGCAATAATAGGTTGTGCGATTTTTTCAAAACCCTACACTTTTATATGTTAATTTTTCAATTCTAAAAAAAGTAGCTTAATGAAGAAGAAAAATTGCTCTAACCAGCAAAAGATTTGCCCTACCTTCTGGTTATTGAAGCTTTCCCAAAAGTCTTATATAAAAATTTTAAAAATTAGCGAAAATTGGACATGGTGGAAAGAAAGGGTCGTAATTTCCAGCAATTATATTGTATCAGCGCTCTGTCAACAAATCACATCGAGAATATGGCAACATCTGGAAAGAGGAAGAAATACTGCATTGAATACAGCTTGAAATGTTTGTTTATCTTCACTGTACAGGATTTACGGGTCACTTCAACCGGCAAAACTTTAGGACCGACCTAATATATGAACTTCCACTGCCCTACAACGTTGGGAAAACGATTCTCTTACGAAAATCTTGCACGAATAGAATGACATTAGGCAGAGCGATGCGTATACTTTCTGAGGGCGCCTTAAGTGCTATCTAATAAGCTTTGAATGCAGAAATAAAATTGGGAAAAGAAAATTTCTTCAATTCAGGAAAAGACAAGAAATGAGACAAGAAATGTGCCATAAACTCCAAAACAGCCAGTATCCTAAGTTTTTAGATTTTTGAATCCTAGGTTTTTTCTTTCAAGGAAAGCAAGATTCGCGGTGATCGAGCTGTTCCTTGAAAGGTTATGATTTTCTAGAAAAAATGCCAGAAAATCACTTCCTTAAGAAAATTGATTTTTTATTCAAAAGATCATAATTCTAAAGTAACAGCACTTAAATGTGTTCAGATTTTTTGAAAAAAAAATTTCAGTTGGCATATTTCACAATAGTTC